CTCTTGTTTCAACAGAATGACATGGACACAAGCAGGAGAAGGTTCTTCCTGTAAAGGCAGCAGATCCAAAACCTACAATTATCAAGGCTCAGCTAGGCCCAGTTGAAGCCGCCAGTAGTTGGAATCGCTGCCCACCAGTCATTCCTTCTATCTTGCATTGGAGATATGTCGTGTCGGTCATTTTTAACCAGAAAGGCTGTTCTGGACAAAGTTCTGTGCATGAAGGGTGCAGCGCATGCGATGTGATGTGGTGTGATGTGATGTGATGTGATGTGATGTGATGTGATGTGATGTGATGTGATGTGATGTGATGTGATGTGATGTGATGTGATGTGATGTGATGTGATGTGATGTGATGTGATGTGATGTGAGGTGATGTGATGATGTGATGTGATGTGCGTATGGCGACGACGAGCATACCAGTGTACACTGCTGTGCCTCAAATTGGATGTGAGATTAAAGCGACGGGCAACTTTTGGCAGTGTTGGGTTCAGAAGTTTTTTTTTTGAACCAGGCTTGCCAGCGCGAAAGTGTTGGCTGGCGAAAACCAGGATTTCGTGCAGACACTTTTCATCTGCAGTAACAGTTCGCCAGGGTTCTGGGTTTTGGGTGGCAAATGTGCACCGTCGCTTTAACTATTCACAGGCACTCCTCAATGGTACCAGTGTGTACCATATGGCGTTGCTTCACACATCTGATATGTGCTGCCAGCACTGGTAATTCCATCATCCATAGCACAAAAGTCGTCTCATGTTATGAGGCACCTCAAAAGATGAAGCTTCACACATCTGATCAGTGCTGCCAGCACTGTAATTCCATCATCCATAGCACAGGTGCAGTAGAACAAGACAATAGTTCTCAACAGGTGGTGGTCATATCCCTTCCAGACCCAGTGCCTTCAAAAATGGTGGAACAAAGGCTCTCTCTAACGCCTCACTTTGCCACTGATTCGAATGCCTCTTGATTCTCAAACTTCTCAGAAACAACACTGGCTGCTGCTTCCTTCCTGCAGCTTCCTTCCGACTGCTTCCCTGCAACCTCCTCCCTAAAACTCCCTCCTACTGCTTCCGCTGACTTTTGAACCGCTCCAGTGCTCCCAGGGCCGCCTCCTTCCCTTCCTCCTCCCCACCCTTCTCCTCCTTCTTCCCTCCTTCCTTCCTACTGCGTCCCTCCTACTGCTTCCTCTGCCTTTTGAACCGCTCCAGTGCCCCCAGCGCCGCCTCCTTCCCTTCCTGCTCCCCGCCCTTCTCCGCAGCCTCCCTCTCTCTCTTCGCCATCTCCTCAGCCTTCCCAGCCAGCGCACCAAACACCCCCGCAGGCACCGACACCTGCGTCACCCCCACCTTGCTGCTTCCCTTCCCCTCCCCTCCCTCCCCCTCCCCCTCCTCCTCCTCTTCCTCCTCCTCCTCATCAGCCAATTCAATCTCCTCCGGGTTTGCCTGTTGGGATTTCACCCCTGCTCCTGTCTCCTGCTCTTGAACTGTCCCCCCACTCACAAACATGGGCACGCGCGGTTTCGCCGTCCCGTCCCCTGCCCCTCCTGCTGCAGCTTTCCCAGCAGCCGCCTGTTCTAGAGCTGCCATGCTATCCATTCCCCCACCACCACCAGCAGCACCTGGGGCGTCAAGTAAGCCTTCCCCAGGTGCGCCTTCCCTGCCCCGGCCAGTATCACCTTCCCGCGGCACGGAGGGGGTTGACTTCATGAGGTACTCGGGCAGAATAAAGTGCATCTGTGGGCGTGGAGAGAACGGGGGGGGCGGGGAAGGGGAGGGGGGGAAGGATGGATTGGGAGATTAGAGAATGGGGACAAGAGTGAGACATGAGAGGAGGCGGTTGACTTCATGAGGTACTCGGGCAGAATGAAATGCATCTGTGGGCGTGGAGAGGGGGGTGGAATGAGGGAGTAGGGGTTGGATTGAGGGAACAGAGAGGGGGAAATCGTGCGTGAGGCATGAGAGGAGGGGGTTGACTTGTTCATTGAGTACTTGGGAAGAATGAAGTGCATCTGCTAATGGGAGATGAGGGGAGAGAAGGGGGGTTGTGGAGAGGGGAGCAGCAGGGATGGATGTAGAGGACAGAGAGCAGGGTAAAGCGAGGCGTGAGAAGACGGGGTTGAACGTGTCCTCATTGCCATGAGCGATCTCAAAAGCGTCTCCAGCAATCCCTTATCCCAACAAACCAACTGCCTGTAGCACCCACCCAGCTGTTGCTTCCCACTAGGCTGCACCCCACTCACCTGGCTGTAACTTGCAGACACAGAGCGCTTGATTCGCAGCATATCACGGAACGTGTCCTCATTGCCATGGGCAATCTCAAACGCGTTCCACGCCTCCCAGAACTCCCCGTCAGACCGCGGGTCCGCAAGCTGGCTGGCGTGCACGAAGATGGCTCGCGCGCGGTCAATCTCCCCCAGCCGCCTCTCCAGTGCAGCGTACCGCAGGCACATGCGCTTCACATCCGCGTCTGGTAGCCCAGACTCGATGGCTCTCTGGCGGTGGGAGGCGGTGCAGAGAGATGGTAGAGAAGGGGAGGAGGGTAAGAAGAGGGGGTGCGGGGAAGAGGGTGAGGCCATTTTTGAGTCGACTAAAAAATAGTCTGGTAGACCTGACTCGATGGCTCTCTGCACGGTGGGAGGCAGTGTAGGGAGATGGTAGACAAGGGGAGGAGGGTAAGAAGAGGGGTTGCGGGGAAGAGGGTGAGGGGGTGAAGTAAGGGGGTGCAAAGGAGGTAAGGTGGGAGTGCATTGCAGGGACACCCATTAGAAACTAGGGGTGTAAGAGGGAAGAGTGGGGTTAATGAGGACAGTAACTGCATTCCACCGCATTTCACCACTTCAAACCCAGACGAGACACCCCACACACCTCGAAGATATCGCGTGACTTGGCCACTCCAAACAGCTCGGCTGCCCGCACAATAAAGAGCTCGTACACGCCCATCCGCTGCTCCTCCGGCACTGCCTGTGCTCCTTCCTTTGGTGACTGTTGAGGCGCCTAAAAAGGCTCCTCAGTCGCTCTTAAGCCAGCTTTTGACTCAACCTAGCCCAGCCACCAGACTCACCTCGTAGATATCCCGTGTCTTGGCCACCCCAAACAGCTCAGCCGCGCGTGCAATAAAGAGCTCGTACACGCCCATCCTCTGCTCCTCCGGCACTGCCTGTGCTGCGCGCTCATACACGGCCATGGCATGCCGTGCCAGCCCGTATTCTTCCTCTAATTTTGCATAGGCCAAGTAGAGTGGCTTGCAATCTGTTGCTGGGGCCTGGAGGGAGTGAGGGAAAGGAAAGGGGGACCAGGGGAAAGGGGGAATGGGTGAAGAAGAGGTTACTGCTCTGCCTGTGCTGCGCGCTCATACACGGCCATGGCATGCCGTGCCAGCCCGTATTCTTCCTCCAGTTTTGCATAGGCTAGGTACAGTGGCTTGCAGTCCGTTGCTGGGGCCTGGAGGGAGGAGATGGGGAAGGAAGGCAAAAATGAGGAGTTGAAATGGATGACAAAGCACTGCCTGTGCTGCGCGCTCATACACGGCCATGGCATGCCGTGCCAGCCCATACTCCTCCTCTAGCTTTGCATAGGCTAGATAGAGAGGCTTACAATCGGTTGCTGGGGCCTGCAGGGAGTGAGAGAGAGGAAAGGGGGACCACGGGAAAGGGGGAATGATTGAGGAAGAGGTGTCTGTGCTGCCCTAGCTGCGCGCTCATACACGGCCATGTCATGCCGTGCCAGCCCATCTTCCTCCTCATGTTTTGCATAGGCTAAGTAGAGCGACTTGCAGTCCGTTGTTGAGGCCTGGGGGGGGGAAGAAAAGGATTGGGGAGGGAGAACGGATTCAGGGTTTAAGGTTTTAGGACATTGGTGACTTAGGAACCTGTTGCTGTATACGCACGGGGGCTTGCCGACATTCACTGTAGCACGGAAAGGGGAGACGGAGGGATGGGGGATAAAGAATGGGATGCACCTGCACTTGCTGTTTGATTGAAACATTTCAGAAAAGAGGCATGTAAGCTGGCACCTTGCACACTGCCGTGGCAGTGGAGAAAGGGGAACGGACGCAGCACAAGGGAGGCAAAAGCACTCAGAGACAGAACATGAGGAATACAAATCAAAAAGAACATAAAACAGTAAACAGTCTGAACCAAACAAACTCATTCCACTCATACGCGCGGGTGTGTGTGTGCGCTCGAACGAGTCCGGTGCACAATGAGGCATGGCACTCACACTCTCAAGCGCCTGCTCAAAGAGATCGCGCGCCCGCTCCAGCTTCTTGCCGCCGTAGCGCTGCACGAACTTGGAGAGGTAGGTGGTCCAGATGTCGCGCACGTGCGGGTACTTGAATATGTTCACCCCGCGCTCGTACACCTTGAAGCTGTCCTCGAAATACTTGTGCTCCTGGATTGGGTTGGAACAATAGGGGTGGAACATGGGTGAGAAGAAGGCACGAGAATCAGTGGCTTTAAGGAAACTGGGCGCAAAACTGCTCGTTCTACACCGTGAAGCTGCTCATTTGGGGGCAAAAGCCACCATTCTAAATCGTGGGCAGCAAGCAACATTCTTAAGCAGGATGACTCTCAGTGCGTGTAAGCGCATCAAAGAGCGCATCAAAGAGCGCATCAAAGATCAAGCGTGGTGTAGCAGCCTAGCAGCCCGCCTGCAGCAGCAGACTCTAGAGTCGACTCAAAAGCATCTCACGGTCTCACCTCGAGCATGAGTGCGTAGTTGATGATGATCTGAGGAGTGGCGATCTTGAGGTCGATGATGCGATCGTACACCGCCCGCCCTTGTCGACTCCAGCGTGCCCAGGCTCTCCTCCAGGTCCACATACAGCGTCCACCCTGCCTTGCCACGCCGTCCCCTCCCCCTACCTCTAGCTTTGCGTTTCAGAGGTGTCTCAGAACTTTCTTTGCAACGACTCTCAACATGCCAAGCCTGCTCCTTGTACCCAACCCACCCCTCCCCCCTTCCCCACCCTCTGGGGTCTCACCTCGAGCATGAGTGCGTAGTTGATGATGATCTGAGGAGTGGCGATCTTGAGGTCGATGATGCGATCGTACACCGCCCTTGTCGACTCCAGTGTGCCCAGGCTCTCCTTTAGTTCACACACAATGGCTAGTGCTGCAAGCTCGCCCCTCTAGCTCCCCCCTCACCTCGAGCATGAGTGCGTAGTTGATGATGATCTGAGGAGTGGCGATCTTGAGGTCGATGATGCGATCGTACACCGCCCTTGTCGACTCCAGTGTGCCCAGGCTCTCCTTTAGTTCACACACAATGGCTAGTGCTGCAAGCTCGCCCCTCTAGCTCCCCCCTCACCTCGAGCATGAGGGCGTAGTTGATGATGATCTGAGGCGTGGCGATCTTGAGGTCGATGATGCGATCGTACACCGCCCTTGTCGACTCCAGTGTGCCCAGGCTCTCCTCCAGGTCCACGTACAGCGTCCACACCTTGAGGTTGCGATACACCTTCAGCTGCGGTCGCTCGTCGCCTTCCGCTGCCGCTGTAGTTCCAAAACGGGGACGAAATTAGGGAAAAACCAAGGTGTTGAGGTCCCACAGACAGACTCTCCTCTCCTCTCCTCCAGGTCCACACCACGTACAGCATCCACACCTTGAGGCTGCGATACACCTTGAGCTGTGGCCTCTCGTCTCCCTCCGCTGCCGCTGTAGTTCCAAAAGGGAACGACATAAGGGAAATCTAAGGTGTAAGAAATCCCCTCTCAAGATTCTCCTCCTGGTCCCTTGGTCGCTGGAAGTTATGATTCCACACCACCCCTTCCCCTCCTCATCCCCCAACCTTCTCTCACCCCCATCACCTAACCTTCTTCCGCCCATCACCCAACCTTCTCCCCCCCATCCCCCAACCTTCTTACCCCCAACCAACCTTCCCCCAGCCTTCTCCCCTCTTTCTCCCCCAGCAACCCCATGCCCGCCAGCGCACACCTTGGCGCAGCACAGCCACTGACGGCTGCAGCGTTGCTCGCCTCAGCAGCTCCCTCGCCCCGTGGAAGTTGTGATGCCGCACCTCCATCTCCGCCCACTCACACCACACCGCCGCAACGTCCTCCACCGCTTTCAACCGCGCCTGAACCGCCCGTTCCAGCACCCGCCGCGCATTCCCCAGATCCCCATGCTTCTCATACAGCTTCGCAAACGCCACCCAGAGCGTATGCGGTTTCCCCACCGCCTGAAACGGATCAACGGTCTTCACAGCCTCGGTGTAGGTCAAGATCTGACGCTCAGGATTGTCCTGGAAGAGCTTGGCGCGCTTATGCCACTCGTGCACGTTGTGGGGGTTCTGGCGGAGCAGGACGGCGGAAACTAGCTCTGGGCGGCGGTCCATGAGGGCTTCTAAGCGCGCCAAGCGCAGATCCGCGTCTGATGTCCGGAACATCCAGTCTAACGGCTTCTTCTTCTGCTGCTTCTTAGCCGCGTTTGCCTTCAGCCCGTCTTGTTCCTTCTGCTGCTGCTGCTGCTGCTGCTGCTGCTGCTGCTGCTGCTGCTGCTGCTGTTGTTGATGGACTTGCTGCAGCTTCAGCAGTTGCTGTTTTGTCAGCTTTTTTCCCTTGAGCTGCCCCTCCTTGTCTGCTTGACCCTCTGCCTGCTGCTGCTCCTGCCCGTCCTCCTCTCTCCTCGCCCCTTCCTCTGCTCCTGCCCCCGCTTCCCCAGCTTCTTCCCCTTCCCCCAATCCCTCCTCTTCCTCTTCCCACCACTCCTTTTCCTCCTCCTCGTCGTCTTCTTCCCCTTCCCCCTCTGCCTCCTCCTCCTCCTCCTCCTCCTCTCCAGCAGTGAGCTCTAGTTTAGCGGCCAGCATACTCTCCTCGAATTGCGCTAAAGCGTCAAACACCACGCTGAAATCGCGCACCGTCATCACGCTAGTTAATCCGTCCTCGTACACGTCTCTAGCGCGCTCGAACAGCCCTCGCCGGATGTAATAATCCGCTAAGGACGTCCATAATCGCCCTACTTCGTGCGAAAACCGCCGGATTCCGCTCCGCAGAATCGCGTCCACTTTTAGGGTTCCGCTTCCGCTTCCGACTGCTCCGCCTCCCCCCGCGCCTCCCGCGTCCCCGTGCATCACCTCCGCGTGTCGCGTCAGCAGATCGCACAGCTGCAGCCATAGCTGGTGCCGCGTTCTCCCGCGCACCGACACGAATTTCTCGTCGTTTAGAGCCGACGCGAGCCGCTCCGCCGCTTCGCGCCATTCCTGCGCTTCGACTAAGAACTCCACGTACTCCTCCACCCGCAACGGATCGAACCGCAAAAACCGGCGGAAAACCCGGCGCGCGGTCTCGATGGGAATGCCAGGCTGGCGGACGAATCTAAGATATGGATCCCAGAGCCTGTCGTGTTGCGTCGCGGGCAGGGACCGAAGCGCGCGATCGAACGTGCGACGCGCGCGTGTTACTAGCTTCTGATCGTCTACCAACGCGGATAGGTACTCGAGCCAGATGCGCGGCATGCGGTGCATAGTGACCAACGCGCGCTCGAACGCGTTGTTCAGAGCCGCGTGCGCAGCGTGATTCGCGGGAAGCCCGCGAACCGCCGCGCGGCGCTCCTTAAGGTACGCTGCCCATAGCTTGTACGATCCTGGGAGGGCTACTAACGCGCGCTCGTATATCAAGTACCGCTTCCGCGCGGGTGAATCGCGCCGCGCCGCGAGGTACCGCCACCAGAGTTTAAGAGAAAAAGGGTTTCTAAGAATCTCCTCCTCGTAAAGGAGATCGTCCTCGGACGGGAGTAGCCCTTGCGGGAGCGACGACATGGCGGCGGACGGCGGGGAAAACAGGCGGACGCGGGGTTGGGGGAGAACACGCGGAAGCGGGGTTCGGGGGAAAACAGGCGGAACTGGGGCTGGGGGAGGGAGCTCAAGGATTGGGAGACGATCTGCGTCTTGAAAAACGAGGGGTGACGGTTGGGATAGTACGGCGGCAGGACGTGACAGAAGAGTTCCCGCCGGGTCCTGCGGATTCGTATTTCGGGAGAATGGGATGAATCACGGAAAACTCGAGGCAACTGGTCCGCGGGAATGGACTAGCAGAAGGGTTAGGAGATCAAAAGGTTAGACGCATTTTAAGAATTCTGCGGGTTTCCCGCTTTAGTAGCACATCAGCGAGGTTACATAAGAGCGAGATTTCTCCAAATACGCCTCCAACAAGACGGACGGGGCCTCGAGAATACCTCTCAAGCCACAAGTGCGACACTATCTAGGTGACCTAATCTCCTAATCTGCAACCTCTCCACTCGTCCAAATGCTGCTGGTTCGAATTGTGAGGTGGTCTCTAGCTCAGATAATTGAAGTGATCGCAAGGAAGAACGCCAGAATCCGCGTTAAAAGAGCACTCGCTGAGGAGTTATTGTTGTTGATGAAGAAATTTGAAGGGCACAAACAGTAAGACATCTGAAACTTCAACTCGTGCAATGGCTCCAAGAACTACATATGTTGTCACCTATTATTACTGTAGCGAATGTATACAGTCCAAGCCAAAGAGACCGCAATGCCTAATGCTCCTACTGCAATACCAGCAAGCAACAATCTATCAACCAACTCTCCACCCATTCCTGCAACTCCCGGACCAGCAGGAACTGCAGTCGTGGAACGCACTTCTCCTACCCCAGCTGCTGCCAAAACACCACTGCAAGACGAGCTTCCCGTGTTGCAGCACTTGTCCTCTTCTGCAGAAGCAGCAGCAGGAGTATCACCAGAACAAGCACAAGCTCCCCCACTCCCTCCACCACAGCACCCATCTGAAGCTCCACCCATTCCTGGTTGCTGACACTCCTGCTGCTGCTCCTGCAGCAATGGTGACAATGGCGACAACTTAGTCTCGACCTGCTGCTTCTCCTTACCCTGCTGGGCCTTGTTAGGGATGTCTGAGCTCCCCACAGCAATAGGCAGGTATTTCTGTGGCGCAGACACCGGCACACCGATCACAGACCACCGCCCGACTGTCGAGATGCGGACAAACAAGTCCGACCCTAAAAGCGCACTCTTGCCACCACTGGTCGGCTCACTCGCTTTTGCCGCCGGCCCATTGGCTTCTGTCATTTGCCCCAGGGCTTTCTCATGTTGCTCCACGTCGTCACAAGAAGACAAATTGACTGCTGACGTGTCATCTGGTGGCCTGCCACCTGGCAGCTTATCCAACGCCACGTCATCAGGGGGTACTAGCACCTGCACGTAGCTATCCGTGTGGCCGACAAGCTTTGTCTTGTCTGCGGCAACATCGGTGATCCAGACCCTCTGGGTGGTTCCAAGAAGGTTCGTGTAGGGCGTGAAGGACTCTATGAGGGCGGTGAGTGCTCTGCTGCGCTGCTTCACCTCCCCTGATGGCACCTTGGGCATGCGCGCTGCTGGCGTGCCTGGGGAGATATGTTGGGGTGGGGTTCGAAACAGAAGAGGTACCCAAACAGAAAATGCAACATCTGCAGGATAGCTGGCCAAGGATGTAACTGCAGGCTCATTTGGGGAAAGCTACATCTGAAGGGATTACCTAGGGGAATTTTCATATGCATGTGGGGGAGGCCACACCTCCAAGGCCCACCTGGAAAGGCTATTACTGCAAGGGTCACCAAGGGGTGGCTACAGCTATAGAGGCAGGCCTTACCTGGGCGCGGGTAGAACTGGGAGATGTGCACTTGAGCGAACTTGTACTTTCGAATCAGGTCCATGGTCTGCTCAAAGTCAGCTGCTGTCTCGCCTGCCATGGTGGGGTCGGGTGGAGCGAGGGTGGGAGTGGGGTTGGTGTTGGAGTGGAGTGGGGTGTGGTGGGGTAAGAGAGGCGTGTGTGGTGTAGAGGGATCTGGACATCAGATTCATGGACTGCTCAAAATCTGGTGTGGTCTCGCCTGCCATGCCATAGTAGGTGGAATGGGGTGGGATAGAGTAGGGAGGGAGTGCATGAGGTGCAGGGGAATGCGGTCAGACACGCTTCTCCTCAAGACACGGCTGCGAGGCAATCTCCCAAACAGGCACGACGCCATGAGAGTGTCTCCCCACATGGCAGAAGTTTGAGAGGTGACTAAAAAAATACCTGGGAAGCCACATATAATGTCCGTAGTGATCTCCAATCTCTACCTGACGTGCCATATCAAAACTCGAGTTCAGAGAAAGTCCCTCACACACCCCATATGTTTGTGGTGGAAAAGGTTCTGAAAAACATACCTGGGAAGCCACAGATGATGTCAGTGGTAATCTCCAGGCCAGGAACCAGCCCCGTAAGTGTGTCCACCACTCGGCAAAACTCCTCCACTGTATACTCCCTCCTCATGCCCTCCAGTACGCTGTTGCTGCCCGACTGCACGGGCAGGTGCAGAAACTTGTACACGCAGGCGTGGTTGAGGATTTTCGCGATTTCGGGCAGGTGTTCGAGAATGTAGGGCGGGTTGGTCATGCCGACTCGCAGCATGCAGCGCCCGTCAGGGGGGAGGGAAGCAACGAGGGCGGAGAGGAGGGAGGGCAGGTCGCTGCCGATGTCACGGCCATAGGCACCCGTGTCCTCGCTGCTCAGCCAGATCTCCCGCACGCCCTCTGCTACTGCTGCCCGCACCCTGTCAACCTGGAGGGGGCATGAAGCGGCCCTCAGGCGGGAGAGGGGAGGGGGGAAAGAGTGTCAATGAGGGCGGAGAGGAGGGACGGCAGGTCGCTGCCGATGTCACGGCCATAGGCACCGGTGTCCTCGCTGCTCAGCCAGATCTCCCGCACGCCCTCTGCTACTGCTGCCCGCACCCTGTCCACCTGGAGGGGGCATGAAGCGGCCCTCAGGCGGGAGAGGGGAGGGGGGAAAGAGTGTCAATGAGGGCGGAGAGGAGGGACGGCAGGTCGCTGCCGATGTCACGGCCATAGGCACCGGTGTCCTCGCTGCTCAGCCAGATCTCCCGCACGCCCTCTGCTACTGCTGCCCGCACCCTGCCCACCTGGAGGGGGCATGAAGCGGCCCTCAGGCGGGAGAGGGGAGGGGGGAGAGAGTGTCAATGAGGGCGGAGAGGAGGGAGGGCAGGTCGCTGCCGATGTCACGGCCATAGGCACCGGTGTCCTCGCTGCTCAGCCAGATCTCCTGCACGCCCTCTGCTACTGCTGCCCGCACCCTGTCCACCTGGAAGGAGATGGGGAAAGGGAAGGGAAGAGGAAGGATATGCTACGCTACCATAGGCGCCCGTGCCATCGCTTCTCGGCCAGATTCCTAACACGCCCTCTCAACTGCTGCCTGGACCGCACCCTGTCTACCTGTGGATGGAAGGGAGGCGAGGGAGAGAGAGCAATATTTGTGTGACTTTTGAGAATTCGTGTGACTTTTGAGAATTCCCAAAAGTCACACAAATATAGCGTGCCATCGCTTCTCAGACAGACTCCTAACACGCCCTCTGCAACTGCTGCCTGAACCGCACCCTGTCTACCTGTGGAAGGGAGGCGAGGGAGAGACAGCAAGGGGAGCTCTCATGGAAAGGATGTACGTCTCAAGTGTGTGGGAGGACATGCACTTACCAGCACGGGCGGAGGTTAGGAGGTGAGATGGCCTCTGGCGTGTTTCGTCTTGCAGTAGGTGCACGCACCCAGGCAGCCCACACTTGTTATATTGAGTCGCCTGAGAAACAGACTCAAGAGTGCAGGAGGGAGGACATGCACTTACCAGCACGGGCGGAGGGTAGGAGCCGAGATGGCCTCTGGCGTGTTTCGTCTTGCAGTAGGTGCACGCACCCAGGCAGCCCACACTGATGGGCACGATCTCCACCCACTTGTTGCGCCGCACCTGGTGGCGTGTGGAGGGCGGGAGGAGGAAAGGAGAGGAGGAGGGTACGGGACCAACAGTTGAGGCGTCTCAGAAACTGTCCCACCACACGGGAGGTGAGAGAAATGTTGGGGGTTGAAAACACCCGGGGGGAACAGACGGAGTAACAGACATGTTACCTTGGGCAGATCAAGAGCAGGGAGAGCACGATTGCGAGAGAGCAGGCGGACAGTGTTGCCTTTGAGCGTCTCCTCCACCACCTCCACCACTCGGTCGATCTGTCTTACAGTTGGTTGGTTGGAACTTGAAGTGCGCATTGGGGAGAGAGAACTTGAAAGACACTCTACCTTGGGCAGGTCGAGTGCGGGTAGTGCCCGATTGCGGAAGAGCAGGCGGACGGTGTTGCCCTTGAGCGTCTCCTCCACCACCTCCACCACTCGGTCAATCTGCTGCACCCCCACCACACTCACGCCCTCTCCCTCCGCCACCCCACTGTCGCCCTGTGAAACAGAGATATGAGAGCAGGAAGAAGGAACGGGAGGAGGAAGGAGAGGAAGAAGGAAATGCAAGCGAGGTTCAAAACAGAGACATCCCTTTCATCACGAGGCGATCTGCTGCACACCCGCCGTACTCAACCCCTCTCTCCCTCAGCCCAGGTGGCCTGGGCGCTCCCACAAACCTGAGGCACGTGCTGTCCTGCTGCTACATGTGCTACTCCGCACACACGGGAGCGGAGCGGAACGGAATGGAATGGACAAGAGGGCACACCCGGGGGCACGCAACCTGCGAGCAGGTGGTTTGAGAAATTTCAAACCACCTGCGGCAAGAGGGAACCGTATGGACAAGAGGACACACCTGGGGCACACAGCCTGCAAGCACGAGTCGTTTGCTCAGCTCCCTGCCCTTGCGGATGAGCGTATCCATGGCTGACTGTGATGGGTTCTTCACCGTGCACCTGGTGTGGGGGGGAGAGGTCACGGGGGGGAAAAGTTGTTAAAGCGCAACATTAACGCCTTTCGGGTGCATCAGAAGCAGTTCCCTGCCCTTGCTGATGAGCGTATCCATGGCGGACTGCGACGGGTTCTTCACCGTGCACCTGGTGTGAGGGGGATAGGTCACGGGAAGCAGGGAAGCAAAGTTGTTAGATGTGCCTCAGGTGCCTCAACAGCAGCTCTCTGCCCTTGCGGATGAGAATGTCCATGGCAGACTGTGATCGGTTCTTCACCGTGCACCTGGTGGTGGGGGGGGGAAGAAGGGGGGGTTGGGGAAACAAGAGAAGTCAGACTGTAACGGGACCTTCACCGTGCACCTGGTGACGGGCAAGGCAGGGCAGGGACAAGAGGGGTCGAGGAGAATGAAGGAGGTCATGTATTGAAACTTTCATTCATGTGCTTATGAAGACAACTTGACCAGGAGGTAGGTACCCGAAAGCCCTTGGCTCCAAAGCATCCACCCGACTCGCACTCACGTGTTGATGATCCACAGGTCCGCCTCAGATGGCACCTCCACCAGGTTGTACCCAAACGCCGCCAATTGTCCAGCCATGTACTCACTGTCGCTCTGGGAGTGCGGGGTTATGGAGAGGAGGGAGGGATGGGAGTTGAAAGAGGAGGTAGGAGAGGAATATGGGAGAGATAGGAAAGTAGGAGAGGAGGGGGAGGGATGGGGAAGGAGAGGAGGGGGTGGATATGATGAGGAGGAGAGGACGGGGAAGGAGAGGAGGCGGGTGGTGGAAAAGAAACTCCAAATTTTTGCCACGAATGAAACGGGTGTTGCCAGCAAGCAAGCATGTACTCATTAACTCCTGCCAACCATCACGGGGGGAGTCGGGTGAAAGAATTCCGATTTTAAAGGTACAAGGTTTGGGTTTTTAAGGCAAGGGCAGAGGTAATTTTGTTTCACCAGGCAACGACCAATCTGCAGTTGTCTAGAAATCCATGTGCTGTGCCCCATCGCATCCGCATATGGTGCCAAGAAACTCTTCTACAGGATACGACGAGAAGCAAATGGAACAACATCACAAAGCTCTTGTAAGGGTTTAGGAGTGGTACCTGGTTATGAGAGCAGCCAAACGTCTTGATGTATATGGACTGCAGGCGAGGGAGAAAGGTGAGAGCAAGGGCCAAGCAGGGACTTATTAGAACGAGAAGCCACACAATTGGTCGGGTAAAGCAGGCGGAGCAGTTGCAAAAGCAAGAACAAAACGAGCGCCCATTCACACCAAACAGGCTGACTTGATGTAGAAAAACGCGAGATTCATGTTAACTTGAATACACAAGTTTTCCTAAACTGTAATCATGAATACTGACTGGAATCAATCAATGGATATTGACCGAAATTCATCCCCATTATAAGCATACCTGCGTTCCAGGAACAGAAGCTGGTGCACCCTCCTCCTCGCGATGGATCCCATCACCATGCTCGGCATGCGCATTCGCTGCTGCATCCCCGATACGAGCAGTTTCGCTGCCAGCTTCTGACTTCGAAACCCTCAATTCGCTGTCCACAACCTCGCCTGCCTGCGTCAGCCCAATTTCAGTGACACCGTTACCGTTGTCGTTACCGTTACCGTCAATGCGAACTGCGGATGACTTCTTCGGCCGTCGCCTAACAGCAGGCCGACCGCCTCCTACTTCAGGAAGGGGTGCTTGGGAATCAACGGTTGAGATCTCTCCATTTAAGCCGTTTACGGCGCTTTTGCCGCTATGTATACGACCTAATCCGGTTCGCCTGTCCTCGTCAAAAGGGTGGTTACCCGATGCTAAATCCTCGATGTCTACCATCGTGACGTCCTCGAATGAGTTAGGAGCTTCGATCAGGCGATATTCCTGAGGTGATCAAAGCACAGAAAGCACAGGGGGCGGAAGGCACTCCCGAGGTTCATTCTTTCCAGTTAGATTTCTTGTGGGTTTCAAACGAGTACATAGCGAATTGAAGATAACAGTTATGCTCCAGTTTCCTTGCTGGTTTATGTCAAGTTTTGCTCAGGTCCATGAGTCTAAGATTTACCCAGTAATTATTGAATCATGTTAAACCTCGCCATAACACAGTCGCACTCAAAAACCGTGATGTTTGAGGGAGCGATTGCATTAAATTCCTGTGATCTTGTTTAGACCAAAGTAAATGTGAATACATAGTCTAGTGTTGAGTTAAACTTATATTCGCAAAAACTCATTTCATCCACTAACTAACCTCGGAGATGCTACAATACCCTTTAGATTCGGCATTTCCCAGAATTGCGGCTACCAGCAGATCATGTCAGACCGTCAGAACAGCATCTTGAAGAGTTGCGCGGCAATTGACGGTCGAGGCCGCTGAGATTGACAATCCGACCGTTACTTCAGTGGAAAATCGGCTTTCACATTTGGTTTGTAGAATTTAGGTGGAGAAAGCATCACCAAGCAAGCTTTTCTCTCTAGGCGTAATCCGGTCAGGTGGCCGTATGGCCGACAGCACTCCCCCAGCTGACGTGGCTCCTGGAGGTGGAAGCGGCGCGGAGGAGACGCGCAGCAAGAAATGGCTGCCGCTGGAATCGAACCCGGAAGTCATGAACGATGTGAGGTCATGAGCGATGTGAGGCGATGAGCGACGAGAGGGGATGAGCGACGAGAGGGGATGAGCGACGAGAGGGGATGAGCGACGAGAGGGGATGAGCGACGTGAGGCGATGAGCGCCGTGAGGCGATGAGCGACGTGAGGCGATGAGCGCCGTGAGGCGATGAGCGACGTGAGGCGATGAGCAGCATGCGACGATGAGCGACGTGAGGCCACGTAGGCATGTGGCGCTGCTTGATACTAGCCGACTCATTAGCAAACTCGTTACCCATCTTCCATGATCCATGATCCACCCCGTTCCCCTTTCCCCCTACCCTGCGGTGTTCATACGAATCGTGCGCGCCAGTTCGTCCGCAAGGTGGGCTATCCGCCTACAGCGGGTTTCCACGACGTGTTTGGGCTGGACGCGGATCTGCTCGCCATGGTGCCTCAGCCCGTGCTCGCGCTGCTCTTCCTCTTCCTGCTGCCTCCCGAGGTGCCGTCTTGTCACCCTCTGCTGCTTGCACCGTGCCGTGCCTGCTGCCAGCTTCCTGCTTACTCACTCCGTGCTCGCACTGCTCTTCCTCTTCCTGCTTCTTTCTAGGTGCTACTGCCTTCCTTGCTTCGTCAATGGTAGTATCTTCTTTGCTTTCTTTCTTTTATTTCCGGTCCCCAGAACAATGGATCATTAGTCAACAGAATCTGATGCCAGAGCTGCACCACCGTTTTGTGTCCTCGACCCCTTGTCTTCCCCCCCTCACCACTTCCTTTGCCTGTTCTTGCAGAAACGGACCAAAGAGCCAGAGCAGCACGACCAGAGCAGTACTCACGACCAGGCGGCTCCCTCAGCTGACGTAAGTCCTGCTGGCCTTCATCGATTGGATTTTGGCTATATGAGTTTTCACGTGGAAGATTTTCAGTCCGACTCATAAGTCAACCACGTGAGCCTTGCTTGCCTGACCTGTGAGTCCTGCTGACCTGCGTCTATCTGTTTGGGCACCTCACAGCAAATCTTTTCTCAGCATGCGAATCTTTCGTCTGATGTACATCCTCCTGTCCTGCGCCCGTTCAATTCTTAGCGCCTGAAATCCCCAGCAGGCCACTCCTGGTGGGGACCTAGGACCTTCTTGACGCCTAAAAAAAATTAGGTGATTTTTTAGGCGCTTCAAAAATCGCCTCAGAACCCCAGCAGGCCACTCCCGCTGCAGAACAAAGGATCTTTGTTGCCCCTTTTGTCCATGCCCGCTTTCCCCCTTCTGTTTGTTCTCCCTGTTGCCACCTTCCACCAGACCGCACAACCATTCTTTATACGGCAAACCATAGACAACGCATGTGGCACGACTGTTCCCTGTCCCTCCTCTACAATTCGTCCCTCCCTTTTTCTCCCCACCTTGCCTTTCCACCTCCCACCAGGCTGCACAGCCATTCTTTGTGCGGCAAACCATAGACAACGCATGCGGCACGATCGCGCTCCTGCATGCCATCGGCAACAACCAACACCAGCTCACCCTTGGTACCTACCTTGCTTGCACCCCTTGCTTTAGCTCGCATGGCACCTACTGTGTGGACCCTTCGCTTCACAGGCACCTCATGGCGTGTTATCCACGCTCTCATTTGCACCATTAATCTCATCATTTTGTAACACGATGTACTTTCTTTGTGAAGGTTGGGAAATGGGATGTGGGACATGGGAGAATGAATGTCAATAAAAATGAATGAGAGAGGTTACTGTAAACGAATTGTGAAGATTGTATGACTACGTGAAGACACTGTATTCATGGCAATTGCTCCAACATTGTTTTGTTGTATCCATCTTTAAGAGTTATTCTGCCTCCTCTTGGTCTTACCATTGTCAGTGTTGAATCCACAGAGGAAGCAGAAAAAACTTTATTTTATGGACACATGAATTAGGTTGTTGGAGTGACTGCCATGAATTCAGTGTCTTCACGTAGTTGTACAATCTTCACAATTCGTTTGAATGACACAAACGCGGCCACTGCTGCAGAAGAAACTTTTGACATCCTTAATCTAATCGACCTTTCAAGAAGTGAGGTACGAACAAATCTAACATTCAACAAAAAACGATAACAGGGGGTATTGGAATCAACAGGGGGATAGGATATGGGAGATGAGAAATGGAATGTGGGTTACATAGGAGATAGGATATGGGATTTGGGATTGGGAGATGGGAGGTGAGAGATGGGGAAAGATCCTTCCTTTCTGCACCACTTCACACACGTGTTGCGCCGCTTTTGAGAAATTTCAAGAGTGTCTATTCTCGCGATGGATGGTTTTTTTTTTATCTTGTACCCCAAATTAGTGTTCTCGTAGCGTGATGCATGGTTGTTCTCTCTCATAGAAGCATGACGATATGAATTTTGCACCCGTCTGCTCCGCCTACTTGTCACTCCATGTGCGCTGTATAATTTGTCTCTCAGCAGCACGACGAGTTGAATATTGTTATCTGCTCCTACCTGCCACTCCCTGTGCCCAACAGAACAGGGTTCTTTCCTCCAACAGTTCTTTGAGAAAACCAAAGACATGACACCTGAAGATGTGAGTGCATGGCGTATGGACATACGACTGCATAACATATTGGAATGTAAGGGCACATGAGTGCATGGCATACGGGCTTGCGAGTGCATGGCGTATTGAAATGTGAGTGCATGTGAATGCATGGCATAAGGCCACGTGGTGATTGGATGGCATGCGTTTGTGATTGGATGTCACCTTGCTGGATGCACCCCTCTCTCTGAGTCGCTACTTCCCTCTTCACCCTTCACTCTTTTTACCCTTCTTCCTCTTTCCTTCACCTGACTTTTCATCCTTCCTCCCTGCCTACCTCCCGGCAAGCAGCTTATCTGGAGGCATTCACGTTGCTGGAGAAGGTACACACAGATGCAGTTTCGAGACACAGATGCAGCCTATCTCAGCACTCTTCTCCTTTCCAATCTCTCGTATTCCTCTCTCCCACCGCCCCTCTCTCCCCACCTCACAGCGAGCAGCCTACCTGGAGGCAGACACGTTGCTGGAGAAGGCACACACAGATGCAGCAGAGGCGGGCGACACTCGGGTGGGTACTTCTTTAACTTGCTCAACTTACTTAATATGTGCTCAGAAACGCGTGTTCCATTGACAGACGTTTCAGCCAGTTGGTTAAGCATTGTCAGTTCTTAGGCCTTCAGTTTATGCACTGTGCCTCCCCTTCTTTCGTCATATCCGTTCTCACTCCCGCCTTGCCTCCGTGTCCTTGTTTCTCCTCTTCCCCGCCTCCCTAATTTTCTGCAGCCCCCAAGCATCCACGAGTGTGTGGATCTGCATTTTGTCGCCTTCGTCACATCTGGAGGTCTGGGTTTCACTCTCACTTTCAAATTTCACTCACTTTCACGTTTCACTCTCACTTTCACGTTTCACTCACTTACAAGTTCCACTCTCACTTTCACGTTTCACTCTCGCTTCAAGTTTCACTCTTCCTTTCAAGTTTCACTCTTCAAGTTTCACTCTCACTTACAAGTCAAACTCGCATTGCATCCCAATCGCTCCCCCTGTGATGCACCAGGAGTTCTCCTATACCATAAACCCAAAACCTGCGGAGTATCCCTCCTTGCCTTGGCTCGTTTCCATCCATTAGCCAGGCGGCCTTGGTGTGCCGATTTACAATCCAGTGATCCCACTCGCCGATTTACAATCCGATTTACAATCATTGCACTCCTTTCAGGTCGTCTGTATGAGCTAGACGGTCGCAAGCCGAAGCCGATCGACCATGGCCCTTCGTCACCTGATACTCTGCTGCAGGTGGGTAGTGTTCCCATAATCCCCTTCTGCAGATAGGTCATTTTTTCCATGTTACCCTGCTGCAGGCATGGGTTGTTCACCCTTCTGCAGGTGGGCTATGTTCCCTTGTTACCCTGCTAGAGGTGGCTTATGTTCCCATGATACCCTGCTGCAGATGGGTTAGGTTCCCAGCTTCAGGTGGGTTATAATCCCATAATACCCTGGGTTTAGGGTGAGTTACCTTTCTCTGCAGTTGTGTTATCTCCTATTGATACCCTGCTGCAGGTGGAAAAAGTTCCACTGCGCTGCGCTCCCACATGCGTTGTGACATCCATCCTCCTTTGTTTAGTCCTGTCTGCGCTCCTTGCTTGCCATTCGTGTGGCAGGATACGGCACGGGTGATGCAGCAGGTGATAGCAGCGAGCCACAACCCCCTGCAGTTCAACGTGTGTTGGGCTTTTTATTCTTCAACATTGCATTCTTTCTTTCCCTCTGCCTTGTCTGCACTCCTTGCTTGCCATGCATGTCGCAGGATGCGGCACGGGTGATGCAGCAGGTGATAGCAGCTAGCCCCAACTCATTGCAGTTCAACGTCATTGCCATGAGCCTTGTGCCGCCCGAATCCTGACTCCTGTGTGAAGCTTCGCTAGCAGCTTAGGAGGGTTTTAGGCGCCTGAGAGATTGCAGCTAGCCCCAACTCCCTGCAGTTCAACGTCATTCCCATGAGCCCTGTGCCGCCCGACTCCCGACTCCTGCGTGGAGCTTTGTCTGGGCACGAGTTTGGCACGAGCTTTAGGGGGTCTTCTAGGTGCCTGAGAGATTGCAGCTAGCCCCAACTCGTTGCAGTTCAATGTCATTGCCACGAGCCCTGTGCCGCCCGACTCCCGGCTCCTGAAAAGCTTTCTTTGCAGCTCGAGGGGTTTCCAGGATTTTGTAGCGCCGTCATAAATGCAGTGAGCCCCAACTTTTGTCTGAATACGGTTCGATGACAATGCCATGTACCACTGCTTGGAAAGAGATGCTCCTCCGGCTGTTTTACCACACATTCTCTGCCACACTCCGTTCATATTTTTTATTTATTCATTCATTCAATGCAGTGTGAAGATGACAAAGAGGTTGGTAAAGACAGGTGAGCCCAGCGTTGCTAGAAAAATAACGATCATAACAGTGCAGAGGAATGTTGATATTTGTTTTTTTAGTTGTAATCTGATATGCCCCTTTCGGTGTAGCGTTATTGGCGGTTGAAAAATTCGGAACAATCATGTGGAACAACACCCACCTCCATGCTTTCGGTTCGGACTCGATCCGTCCAACCAGCAACTCGCATCGATTCGCGTGATGGGATTTTGTGCCGAACCACGTAACGAGTCTTCCGAAGACTGTTGCCGCTAACAAACCGTACAGCTTTGTTTGGGTTGCATTGAATGATTGGTGGTGTGAACATAACGCAGGCCAGGCCCGCAACAAAAATTCGATGATTTGGGATTGGCTTGGGAACCGTGGCCACGGACTTTCGGGGATGAAGGTTGAACTTGGCAGTCCTGCGTCTTACGTGGTTACTGCCAGCAAAGCATTCGCTTCCTCACCGACAACCCACTTGTATCAAACTCATCCAATGATGACAGGGACAAGTTTCAGCAACAAATTTCCACATTTTCATTCTGGTACTGTACTGTATTTTCTGCTAAGTGGCAAACAATGGATCGCCTGGTTGTCTCACACCCGTCACAGTTGGGATGGCGGCAGCAGCACACAATGCAAAAGTACATCTCAGAAGTACTTTTGTTTGTGCCCAAAACTTTCATCTCCTGTCCATCTGGGTCGATGGCCTGGTCCGACTGTGCATTCAATTCGGAATAGAAAAATCTTACACGGTTGCAGTTCTGTTGCAGCACACAGATCCAGGTTTGCACTGTAGAGATATCCACGCTGCGTGCGCTGGTGGGTGGATGCTGTCGTGTGGTGCTAGTGTTATACACCCTCATTCTCAGTCTACGCACAATTGGGAGCCCTGGCTACAGTGCGTACTGTTGCTTGGACCCTAGCGATCTGGTGCTTGGAGCCGAACCCCAGGTAGGTGGCGGGCAAATCCACCCCCAGGGAACGGTAGACAACGGTATGTAAACTTACAACTACACCCTCATTCTCAGTCTGTGCACAATCGCCACATGAACATGCCAGCTGTAATGACATCAATGCGTCCAACATGGTCCAAGAACATACGCTGTAAGCACATTTGCCGTACTCAGCCGTACGGAAAACTAATTGTAAGTTTACATACCGTTGTCTACCGTTCCCTGGGAGTGCATTTGCCCGCCACCTACCTAGAGTTCGGCTCCAAGCACCAGATCGCTAGGGTCCAAGCAACAGTACGCACTGTAGCCAGGGCTCCCAATTGTGCGTAGACTGAGAATGAGGGTGTAGTTTTCCGTACGGCTGAGTACGGCAAATGTGCTTACAGCGTATGTTCTTGGACCATGTTGGACGCATTGATGTCATTACAGCTGGCATGTTCATGTGGCGATTGTGCACAGACTGAGAATGAGGGTGTAGAATTAGGGGACTGGCTCGACCCGAAAAAAATTAAGGGGTATACTGACCAGTGTACAGAACCTAGGTTTGGAGCTGCAATTATCTCTCATAATCTGTGGGGTTACTAGAGTACTGTCTGAAAACTGCGCACATGGTAAAGTCCATCAGGCGTCCTTTCGGAACGGGAACCTATAAACTAGTCATTTTCATTGCCCCTCACCTTCGGCTGAAGCGGACGAACCACGGCTTCCATGCTGACAAGCGTGGACAACATCACCCTATCGAACATGCATAGACACTCTTAGCGTTCTTGTGAATGTTTTTATGGGCGTTCATGTACTGGTAAATTGAGAAGAGTGCACACATATTAGCTACTGCAAGGATTCAAAAACCCAAATTGAGTGTAGAGATTGATGCTTTCCAAAGTTCCTCCAGAGTATCATTACAAATCCTGGCAAAATCATGTCCCTGGTTGAAGGGTATTCACCCCACCCCTGCTCCACCTGTTCCAGCGTTACACTCATTGAGCTCGTTCGTACGGAAGGTAAGCCACGTGTCCAGATCGTAACAAAGGTATCTTCTCATCGCCACCGTGGTAACCAACATTTCCGAAATGGTCAACATTATTGCCTGAATGGTAATGAACAGTGCTTCCGGAATTCCTGGCTGGTAACTTCGCGTTTGAACTAAGCTGTACACCGTACAAGTAGGGCTTGACTCAGCAAAACTGAAATTGATGTCACGGTACAGCACAGAATGCACATGAACGCTTACAAACGCAAAGCGTTACATGCAAGTATGCGATACAATCAACTATGACAACAAAATCAAGATTAAAAAAACTTAAATAAACATTCTTAACAAAGCATATCATGCAATATTTGATACTTTGGAAAATATTTTTTTTTGTCTTTTTATACAACTTTCATAGTCTTTATGCAAAATCTGAAAAACTCACATCGATATTGTAATTTTTGTATATTGATTTAGATCGAGCTCTGAAGATTCTTAAATAGAAGTCTTGTTGAGTAAAATAATCTGCTTCATAATAGTTGTCACTATCATAATTTTACGTTTTGACATAGTTCTTTATTTTTTGTGGCGTTTGTTTGGTAATAATGCATTCGGTTTTTAATCAGATTTCGAGCTAGCATATGGAGTTTTAACGTGCGGCATTACAAACGCCAGTATTATAACCCGAAATGCGCATTTTGTGGAGTACATGTGGACAATCGGTTTCGTTTCGGCTGAGTCAAACCCTACTTGTACGGTGTACAGTTTAGTACGAACGCGAAGTTACCAGCCAGGAATTCCGGAAGCACTGTTCATTACCATTCAGGCAATAATGTTGACCATTTCGGAAATGTTGGTTACCACGGTGGCGATGAGAAGATACCTTTGTTACGATTTGGACACGTGGCTTATCTCCCGTGCAAACGAGCTCTATAAGTGTTACCGCGGAGGTAATTGCCCATTTTTGTGAGCTCCCTCAGGCCGTCTGTGGAGCATCAACTTGTCATGGGAGAATGTCATGTCATTTCATGTGGGTGTGTGTGGCTCACTTCACTTGGTGCTAGTGATCTTGTGCTCGCTCTGCACCTAGTGTTTTGTCCTTGTGTTCTTCTTGAATGCGATCTCCTATTAGACTCCATTCTAAGTACAAAGATATCGAAAACGAGTCTCACGTAGTGTTGCGTCAGGCAGGCGTCGCGTTATCTATTGAAGTTTCTTTTCACGATGCAATGACGACCTCGCTGTATTCGCTACCATACTTTACAGAGCTTCTTTATTTACGCCTATTACCAACGCGGCGACAATGGCAGAGACGAGGACTCTCGACCACAGCAGTAACGACACCGCTGCCGCCAGTTCATTACCACGTCGAAAAGTAGACTCTCTCAGAGTTAAGAATACGTGTGGAGGGTTCGATATTACTACTACCCCGTCGACCTCAAGCGACACGCCGTTCTCGAAGGCACGACACGCCGCAGATGCCGCAATGATCGCAATCAGTTCGCGACATCACGACGGTCATCGTCATCGCGACGATGGCGACGCCGGTTATGGCGATCGAGTCGCGGCTGGCGACCGATTTTTCGATGAGGACCGAGTCTTCGATGGCGGCTGGCCTGCTGTGGCGACGTCAGACAACGCGCGGTTCCCCACGTCGTCGAGTCACCGCCGAATGCGACTTCATCCAGCAGTGAACCCCGAGTTTCACGCTCGGCGGGAGGAGGATCGCCGGTCGCTAGATTCCGAATCGCCTCTGTACTCCGAATCGCGGTTGTACTCCGAATCGTCGTTAATATACCCAGCGCGGCGATTATCGCACCATTTATCGTGGCGCGGTTCCGATACTCGATTCCCGGTCGATTTCGGCGTATTCAAGAGTAGGGAATGTAATAGCCATGTACCTGCGATTACGAGCTGTAATTCTAAGCTGTTTCGTAGTATATTAGACAATACATCTACTACTACTAGAACTAACAGTACAGAGACGGAGAATATGTTTCGTACTCCGAGAACTCTGGAAACTTCGAGTGCAGAAACGAAGATTAGGTTTCCTCTTAGCGGTACTCGTAGCATCAGCAGCAGGAGCCGTCGTAGTAGCCGTAGTAGTAGTGTAGATAGTATTGAGTTGCTGGGTCGACGTTGCGGCTCTATCCGGACCTCGAGGGCTCGGCGCGCTGCGAACATCTTCCCGTTTTTTCACGGAACCCGCTGGAATGCCGGCGCGTTCACGATGACGTGGCTGGTACTGTTGCTGACGTGCCAGTGTGCAGTTTTCCGGACGACCGTGGGAGCAGATGGTGCGGATACGCTGGTGAAAGGAAGTCATCCCGCGAGCAAAGACATAAGCTTTGTATCCCTGGGATGGAGTGACCGTGCAGAAAAGAGGAGCGTCGGCGACGCAGCTTGGTCAAGCAGTTTCAAGAGTTCTCAAAGTTACCGAAATTCTCGGGGTTCTCGAAGCGCTGCGGACGGCGGCTCAGCAGGATTTGAGTTCGACGCTCAGCGCGCATCCCTGGTAAAGGAGGAGGCGCCGGATTCGGCGTCGTCGATGGTTGATCCGCAATTTAGGTTTCATGGAGACTTGCACTACCAGCACCGCCAAGTCGACGCGTCAACGAAGCTGTTACCACTCGATGGCAAAATTCCTTCGCTACGACTCTCCCCGGTCGCAGCGCCCTCGCGCCACTCTTCGCGCGCGACGAACGAAGCTGCTTCGTCGGTTTCGACCCAACCTGCTTTGGCGGACCTAGCCGCGTCGCAGTCGATCACGATTGGCTGCCTCGTGCCTGTGGACCTCACCCCCGACAGCGTTCACATGCTTGCCGGTACTACCAAGGGGGATTTGGTGGAATGATTGTTCCAAATAATTTGCTACAGTGCTATAATGCTATTCCCCACCTTTCACGCCATCCTCCCCCCTACGCCGCGATTTCCCCTCACACCTCCCCCCCACGCGACTGCGTTTCCCCCCACGGTGCGCTTTCCTCCACGCTGCGCTTCCCCCCACGCTGCGCTTTCCCCCACGCTGCGCTTCCCCCCGCGCTGCGCTTCCCCCCACGCTACGCTCCCCCCTCCACGCTGTCCCCTCCCCCACGCCGTCCTCCCCGTTCCCCTCTTCAACTCTCCGTCCGCCAGCTGTGACTATAGCGGTGGGTGAGGCCAACCTTTAAAAAATCTCCACACCCCCTCCATCCCTCCAGCCGTGACTTTAGCGGTGGGTGAAATCAACCTGTCGAAGTCTCTGCTGCCGAACCACACCCTGCTGCTCGCGCCCATGCTGTCCTCTTTCCCACGCCATCGTTCTCCCTCCTCCCCAACCCCTCCTTCCCCGCCAGCCGTGACTCTAGCGGTGGGTGAGATCAACCTGTCCAAGTCTCTTCTACCCAACCACACGCTGCTGCTCGCGCCGCTCAACTACACCACGCAGCCCGTTGCAGGGCAGATGGCAGGTGCGTCCGCCATGTCGACTCTGCCGACTTTGGCAAGCTGCAATTCGGGAGGTAGCATTGGACTGACAGACATGACAGTAGTGGGCTCGGCTCGCGCCGCTCAACTGCACGACGCAGCCCGTTGCTGGGCAGATGACTTTTGAGTCGACTCAAAAGTCAGCCCGTTGCTGGGCAGATGGCAGGTGCGGCAGAGATCACGGATGGGGGTGGATGGCATGTGGGTGGCAAGAGTGGCATGGAGGCGTGCGGTGCTTGTGCTACGGTGGATGCAAGGGGGTACCTGGATTCCGGATTTGGCGTGCATCCATCATCCAGCCATCATTCCAGCCAGCTTACCTGAACTCACACACGCCCCTCCACCCCAGCTGCTATTTTCCCCATTTCAAACAACAGATTGTTCCTTATTGCTGTAGATACAACCCCCCAACCCTTCCACTTTCCCACCCCCCCTCCTAACCTCCCCCTTCCCTCCCCCCAATTTCCGATTCTCCCTTTTGCTTTCCCCAGCCCTCCAGCTGGTGTTAATGGATCCTCTGCCCGAGGCGGTGGTGGGACCGCGCATGTCAGACCAGGCCACTATGCCCAAACAACCCCTCCCCCGAAACCCCCTCCCCACCCCTCTCCCCGCTTCCCCCTCTCGCTCCCCTTCTCTCCCCCTCCTCCTCTCCCAGCCCTCCAGCTAGCATCAATGGATCCTCTGCCCGTGGCAGTGGTGGGGCCGCGCAACTCGGAACAGGCCGCTATGCCCAAACAACCCCTCCTGCCCCTTCCGCCTCTCCCTCCCCTCCCCATTCTCTTCCTCTTCCCCCTTCCCTTCGCTCCTCCAGCCCTCCAGCTAGCGTCAATGGATCCTCTGCCCGTGGCAGTGGTGGGGCCGCGCAACTCAGACCAGGCCGCGCTGGTCAGCCCGCTTGCGTCGTTCGCTCAGGTGGGCAGGGAGGGAGAAAAACGAGGGTCAGAGGGTGCTGTGGGGGGGAGGGGGGTTCCCCCAACTCAGACCAGGCTGCACTGGTCAGCCTCCTGGCATCGTTCGCTCAGGTGGGCAGGGGGAGGCACAGATGGGGGCTCAGGGGGGCGCGTAGGCAGACATGGGTGGGAGGAGAAGAGAGGGTCTTTTTGAGTCGACTTAAAAATAGGCTCAGGTGGGCAGGGGCGGATGGATGTGGGCTCAGGGGGGCGCGTAGGCAGACATGGGTGGGAGGAGAAGAGAGGGTCTTTTTGAGTCGACTTAAAAATAGGCTCAGGTGGGCAGGGGCGGATGGATGTGGGCTCAGGGGGGCGCGTAGGCAGACATGGGTGGGAGGAGAAGAGAGGGTCTTTTTGAGTCGACTTAAAAATAGGCTCAGGTGGGCAGGGGCGGATGGATGTGGGCTCAGGGGGGCGCGTAGGCAGACATGGGTGGGAGGAGAAGGGAGGGTCTTTTTGAGTCGACTTAAAAATAGGCTCAGGTGGGCAGGGGCGGATGGATGTGGGCTCAGGGGGGCGCGTAGGCAGACATGGGTGGGAGGAGAAGAGAGGGTCTTTTTGAGTCGACTTAAAAATAGGCTCAGGTGGGCAGGGGCGGATGGATGTGGGCTCAGGGGGGCGCGTAGGCAGACATGGGTGGGAGGAGAAGGGAGGGTCTTTTTGAGTCGACTTAAAAATAGGCTCAGGTGGGCAGGGGCGGATGGATGTGGGCTCAGGGGGGCGCGTAGGCAGACATGGGTGGGAGGAGAAGGGAGGGTCTTTTTGAGTCGACTTAAAAATAGGCTCAGGTGGGCAGGGGCGGATGGATGTGGGCTCAGGGGGGCGCGTAGGCAGACATGGGTGGGAGGAGAAGAGAGGGTCTTTTTGAGTCGACTTAAAAATAGGCTCAGGTGGGCAGGGGCGGATGGATGTGGGCTCAGGGGGGCGCGTAGGCAGACATGGGTGGGAGGAGAAGAGAGGGTCTTTTTGAGTCGACTTAAAAATAGGCTCAGGTGGGCAGGGGCGGATGGATGTGGGCTCAGGGGGGCGCGTAGGCAGACATGGGTGGGAGGAGAAGAGAGGGTCTTTTTGAGTCGACTTAAAAATAGGCTCAGGTGGGCAGGGGCGGATGGATGTGGGCTCAGGGGGGCGCGTAGGCAGACATGGGTGGGAGGAGAAGGGAGGGTCTTTTTGAGTCGACTTAAAAATAGGCTCAGGTGGGCAGGGGCGGATGGATGTGGGCTCAGGGGGGCGCGTAGGCAGACATGGGTGGGAGGAGAAGAGAGGGTCTTTTTGAGTCGACTTAAAAATAGGCTCAGGTGGGCAGGGGCGGATGGATGTGGGCTCAGGGGGGCGCGTAGGCAGACATGGGTGGGAGGAGAAGGGAGGGTCTTTTTGAGTCGACTTAAAAATAGGCTCAGGTGGGCAGGGGCGGATGGATGTGGGCTCAGGGGGGCGCGTAGGCAGACATGGGTGGGAGGAGAAGAGAGGGTCTTTTTGAGTCGACTTAAAAATAGGCTCAGGTGGGCAGGGGCGGATGGATGTGGGCTCAGGGGGGCGCGTAGGCAGACATGGGTGGGAGGAGAAGGGAGGGTCTTTTTGAGTCGACTTAAAAATAGGCTCAGGTGGGCAGGGGCGGATGGATGTGGGCTCAGGGGGGCGCGTAGGCAGACATGGGTGGGAGGAGAAGAGAGGGTCTTTTTGAGTCGACTTAAAAATAGGCTCAGGTGGGCAGGGGCGGATGGATGTGGGCTCAGGGGGGCGCGTAGGCAGACATGGGTGGGAGGAGAAGAGAGGGTCTTTTTGAGTCGACTTAAAAATAGGGTCAGGTGGGCAGGGGCGGATGGATGTGGGCTCAGGGGGGCGCGTAGGCAGACATGGGTGGGAGGAGAAGGGAGGGTCTTTTTGAGTCGACTTAAAAATAGGCTCAGGTGGGCAGGGGCGGATGGATGTGGGCTCAGGGGGGCGCGTAGGCAGACATGGGTGGGAGGAGAAGAGAGGGTCTTTTTGAGTCGACTTAAAAATAGGCTCAGGTGGGCAGGGGCGGATGGATGTGGGCTCAGGGGGGCGCGTAGGCAGACATGGGTGGGAGGAGAAGGGAGGGTCTTTTTGAGTCGACTTAAAAATAGGCTCAGGTGGGCAGGGGCGGATGGATGTGGGCTCAGGGGGGCGCGTAGGCAGACATGGGTGGGAGGAGAAGAGAGGGTCTTTTTGAGTCGACTTAAAAATAGGCTCAGGTGGGCAGGGGCGGATGGATGTGGGCTCAGGGGGGCGCGTAGGCAGACATGGGTGGGAGGAGAAGGGAGGGTCTTTTTGAGTCGACTTAAAAATAGGCTCAGGTGGGCAGGGGCGGATGGATGTGGGCTCAGGGGGGCGCGTAGGCAGACATGGGTGGGAGGAGAAGAGAGGGTCTTTTTGAGTCGACTTAAAAATAGGCTCAGGTGGGCAGGGGCGGATGGATGTGGGCTCAGGGGGGCGCGTAGGCAGACATGGGTGGGAGGAGAAGAGAGGGTCTTTTTGAGTCGACTTAAAAATAGGCTCAGGTGGGCAGGGGCGGATGGATGTGGGCTCAGGGGGGCGCGTAGGCAGACATGGGTGGGAGGAGAAGGGAGGGTCTTTTTGAGTCGACTTAAAAATAGGCTCAGGTGGGCAGGGGCGGATGGATGTGGGCTCAGGGGGGCGCGTAGGCAGACATGGGTGGGAGGAGAAGAGAGGGTCTTTTTGAGTCGACTTAAAAATAGGCTCAGGTGGGCAGGGGCGGATGGATGTGGGCTCAGGGGGGCGCGTAGGCAGACATGGGTGGGAGGAGAAGAGAGGGTCTTTTTGAGTCGACTTAAAAATAGGCTCAGGTGGGCAGGGGCGGATGGATGTGGGCTCAGGGGGGCGCGTAGGCAGACATGGGTGGGAGGAGAAGGGAGGGTCTTTTTGAGTCGACTTAAAAATAGGCTCAGGTGGGCAGGGGCGGATGGATGTGTGCTCAGGGGGGCGCGTAGGCAGACATGGGTGGGAGGAGAAGAGAGGGTCTTTTTGAGTCGACTTAAAAATAGGCTCAGGTGGGCAGGGGCGGATGGATGTGGGCTCAGGGGGGCGCGTAGGCAGACATGGGTGGGAGGAGAAGAGAGGGTCTTTTTGAGTCGACTTAAAAATAGGCTCAGGTGGGCAGGGGCGGATGGATGTGGGCTCAGGGGGGCGCGTAGGCAGACATGGGTGGGAGGAGAAGGGAGGGTCTTTTTGAGTCGACTTAAAAATAGGCTCAGGTGGGCAGGGGCGGATGGATGTGGGCTCAGGGGGGCGCGTAGGCAGACATGGGTGGGAGGAGAAGAGAGGGTCTTTTTGAGTCGACTTAAAAATAGGCTCAGGTGGGCAGGGGCGGATGGATGTGGGCTCAGGGGGGCGCGTAGGCAGACATGGGTGGGAGGAGAAGGGAGGGTCTTTTTGAGTCGACTTAAAAATAGGCTCAGGTGGGCAGGGGCGGATGGATGTGGGCTCAGGGGGGCGCGTAGGCAGACATGGGTGGGAGGAGAAGGGAGGGTCTTTTTGAGTCGACTTAAAAATAGGCTCAGGTGGGCAGGGGCGGATGGATGTGGGCTCAGGGGGGCGCGTAGGCAGACATGGGTGGGAGGAGAAGAGAGGGTCTTTTTGAGTCGACTTAAAAATAGGCTCAGGTGGGCAGGGGCGGATGGATGTGGGCTCAGGGGGGCGCGTAGGCAGACATGGGTGGGAGGAGAAGGGAGGGTCTTTTTGAGTCGACTTAAAAATAGGCTCAGGTGGGCAGGGGCGGATGGATGTGGGCTCAGGGGGGCGCGTAGGCAGACATGGGTGGGAGGAGAAGGGAGGGTCTTTTTGAGTCGACTTAAAAATAGGCTCAGGTGGGCAGGGGCGGATGGATGTGGGCTCAGGGGGGCGCGTAGGCAGACATGGGTGGGAGGAGAAGAGAGGGTCTTTTTGAGTCGACTTAAAAATAGGCTCAGGTGGGCAGGGGCGGATGGATGTGGGCTCAGGGGGGCGCGTAGGCAGACATGGGTGGGAGGAGAAGGGAGGGTCTTTTTGAGTCGACTTAAAAATAGGCTCAGGTGGGCAGGGGCGGATGGATGTGGGCTCAGGGGGGCGCGTAGGCAGACATGGGTGGGAGGAGAAGGGAGGGTCTTTTTGAGTCGACTTAAAAATAGGCTCAGGTGGGCAGGGGCGGATGGATGTGGGCTCAGGGGGGCGCGTAGGCAGACATGGGTGGGAGGAGAAGAGAGGGTCTTTTTGAGTCGACTTAAAAATAGGCTCAGGTGGGCAGGGGCGGATGGATGTGGGCTCAGGGGGGCGCGTAGGCAGACATGGGTGGGAGGAGAAGGGAGGGGAAAATGCAGAGGAGAGTCTGATTGAATTTTCTTGCTGCAACCTGCTAATTGAACGCCCAACCGCCACCCAGGTCCCCTCCCCACTGTGTTGCTTCATAGTCGCTACCTTTTTGCTCGCTCACTCCCTGACCCGCTTCCACCCCCAACCCGTCGACCCCTTCCCACTCCGTTGTACCCATCCCGACTCCTTTTGTTTCAACCTCCCGCGTCGCTGTGTCTCCGCTGCCCAGATCCCCTTTGTGTCGCCGTCCGCCACGGATGTGCGGTTGACAGCGGGCGGCGACCGGCCGTACTTCATGCGGACCATTCACAACGACGGCATGGACATGCGCGCCATCGCAGGTGAGGCATGGTGACACGCTGGCTCGTGCTGCTTTGCAGAGAAGATGGTGATGTGTGCAGCTATCAGTGAGTGGGGTGGGGAGGTGAGGTGACTGGCCGTACTTCATGCGGACCATTCACAACGACGGCATGGACATGTGCACCATTGCAGGTGACTGTTACGGAAGTGACTGTAGCGGAAGTGGTTGGAGCGGAAGTGATTGGAGTGGAAGTGTGGCATCCACAGTGACGTCAGCTTTCCACCGCATCACTTTCCTTTCCTTCTTTCCAGTGCATCACTTTCTTTCTTTCTTTCCTTTTTTCCTTTCTCTCCCGCTTTGCATGCAGAGTTCCTGGCGTTCAACAAGTGGAGCGAGGTGATCGTCATCCACAGTGACAACCGCTTCGGCCGCAACGGCATTGCTTCGCTCAACGGCTATCTCTCCACACAGCAGGTGCGCCCTCCCTCATCCCTCCCCCCCCCCTCCCCCCGCCCCCCCGGCGCAATTATGTGCACACTCTCTGTAGGCGGTACTGCTCTATGATGCTAACGAATCTGGCTATGCTGAGTACGCACAGCACTGCGCAGTGGTTATTCTCCACACCTCCCAGTGTAGCACACACACGCATTTTTAAAGACCGTACACTTGCTGAACTGAATCAGTTCCCAAGTCCCTCCACTATGCCTCACTCCGCTGCTTCTGCTCTTCTTTCGCCCCAACCCTCGTTCTCTCATGGCAGCAATGGAAGGTCAGGATCGCGACACGTGTGCCGATCAAGACGTCATGGTCGGTGGCGGACACAGCAGCAGCGCTGGGGGCAGTGGAGCGGCTGGACCCGGCGGTCTTTGTGGTGCATGCCGCTGCTGCCCTCTGCGCCGTCATCTTCTCTGCTGGTGCGCTCTCTGCTTCTGCCCTCTGCTTCTGCTCTCTTTCTGCCCTCTGCTTCTGCCCTCTGCGCTGTCATTTCTCTGCTTCTGACCTCCGCTGCTGCCCTCTGCGCCGTCATCTTCTCTGCTGGTACGCTCTCTGCTTCTGCCCTCTGCTTCTGCTCTCTTTCTGCCCTCTGCTTCTGCCCTCTGCGCTGTCATTTCTCTGCTTCTGACCTCAGCTGCTGCCCTCTGCGCCGTCATCTTCTCTGCTGGTACGCTCTCTGCTTCTGCCCTCTGCTTCTGCTCTCTTTCTGCCCTCTGCTTCTGCCCTCTGCGCTGTCATTTCTCTGCTTCTGACCTCCTCTGCTGCCCTCTGCGCTGTCATCTTCTCTGCTGGTAGGCTATCTGCTTCTGCCCATTGCTGCTACTGCCCTCTGCCCCCCCCGCCTCTGCTGCTGCGTCTGCTGCTGCTTCCGCCGGAACTGCTGTGAGTCGATCCAAAGCACACCTGGTGCTGCCCTCTTTAGATGAGTCGACTCGAAGGACAGCAGGCAGCAGCGCTGCCGGCTGTGGAGAGGCTGGATCCAGCGGTCTTTGTGGTTCATGCCGCTGCTGCCCTCCGCATCTTCTCCGCTGGTACACTAGCTTAGGACTTCGGTCTACGGCTAGTATATCATCCAGTCTATGGCTATCATAGGACTGACTCACTCCAACGATCTGACATAGACCATGATAGCCATAGGCTGAATGAGTGATAGACTCCACCGATAGCCATAGACTGAATGACAAAAGTGCTCCCTTCCTCCTGCTGCCCGGTCCCCGCCTGTCACATGCGTGCGCAGCGAATCAGATGCAGCTGGTGGGGAAGAACTCGGTGTGGGTGGCATCGGAGGGAGCAGCGCTGGTCAACTCCACCATGCTGCAGAATGTAGAGGTGAGGCGGGGTGGGGTGTGGTGTGGGTGGGGTTTGTCTGAGGTAGTGGGGTGGGGCCTGCACAGCATTGAGGCAAGTCGACTCACACGGGCATCGGAGGGAGCAGCGCTGGTCAACTCCTCTAACATGCTGCAAAACGTCGAGGTGAGGTGGGGCCTGCGGTAGGGGGGTCTGGGACAGCTAGGGGCTTCGGGAAGTTCCTGGAACAGTGGGCCTGGGGTAGTTGGGTGTGTGGCTGCGGGGTCTGTACGGTGTATGTCCTCTCATTCTTCTCATACCCGTCTCAACCCACACACACGCATCTCACCCTCACCCTTGCCATCACCAGGGCATGGTCATCACGTTGACCTACCTCCCTCCATCTCCATGGCTCACCTTGTAACGCACTCATTCTTCTCATACCCCTCCCTCTCAACCCACACACATACGTCTATACATTCCCCTCACACCCATCCCACCAGGGCATGGTCATCACCTCGACCTACCTCCCTCCATCACCGCGCCTCACCTCGTTTCAGGAGAATTGGGCCAAACTGAACCCCGTACGCTTCCCCAACGCCAGCAAGGAGGTCAGTTTCGTCGCTACTAGCTCAAGTTTGAGACGTCTGAAAACGCGCCTCACCTTGTTCCGGAAGAATTTGGCCAAACTGAACCCCGTACGCTTCCCCAACGCTAGCAAGGAGGTGAGTTGGTCTCAAAATCTTTTCCAGCGGAGAGTAAAAGCTGTTTCGTGGGTCTTTTAGTCAGTCAGTTTGTCAGTCAGTCCTGCACCCTGGTGGCCTGTTACACCTCTTACCCCGCCATCTCTCCTCCGTGCTCTATGGCAGCACCAGGGTCTTCCAGTAGGGAAAGCGAGCTCTCTGTGCTTCGAGCTGCCTTTCTTTCCTTCCCCTCCTCTCCTCTCCCTCATCTCCCTCCTCACGCCTCCTCTCCCTCCTCACACCTTCGTCCCCCGCAGGAGCCCAAGTCGTACACGCTAGCAGCATACGATGCCACGTACCTCATAGCCGCCTTCCTTCCCCTCCTTCCCTCCCCCCTCCTTCCCTCCCCCCTCCTTCCCTCCCCCCTCCTTCCCTCCCCCCTCCTTCCCTCCTCCCTCCTTCCCTCCCCCCTCCTTCCCTCCCCCCTCCTTCCCTCCCCCCTCCTTCCCTCCCCCCTCCTTCCCTCCCCCCTCCTTCCCTCCCCCCTCCTTCCCTCCCCCCTCCCTCCCTCCCCCCTCCTTCCCTCCCCCCTCCCTCCCTCCCCCCTCCCTCCCTCCCCCCTCCCTCCCTCCCCCCTCCCTTCCCTCCCCCCTCCCTTCCCCTCCCTGCCCTCCTTCCCCGCCAGGAGCCCAAGTCGTACACGCTAGCAGCATACGACGCCACGTACCTCATAGCTTGGGGGCTGCACTCCCTGCTCTATGGCAACCACAGCACTGCTGCCACTCGCAGCACCACCACCACCAGCAGAAGCAGCAGCGGCAGCCTCACACAGTGCAATGCTGACCCTTCATCCCCTTCTCACTCGCACATACATCGCCCACACCCGCCTCTATCACCCCCTTCTAACTCGCTCCCTTCTCATTCGCCCATACATCACCCACACCCCCGGTATCACCCCCTTCTCACCCACTCCCACCGCTTGCACCCCCTCCTCCTGCCATATCCTCACCCCTCTGGCCGGGAACGGTGCGCGCCCGCGCTGCTGCCGCCGCTGCTGCTGCTGCTCGTGGTGGTTCTGGTGGTGGTGCGGCTGCGGCTGCTGCTGCTGCAGCTGGCGCTTCCGGTGCGGCTGCTTCTGCTGCCGCTGCGGGTAGTTCTGGTGGTGGTGCTGCTGCTGCTGCAGGCACTCAAGTCTCTAGTGCTGCGGGTTGCAGTGGTGCCAGTGGCGCCGGTGGTGCTGAGACTTCGTTTCCTACTCTGCAAATAGACTACAGGGGCACGGTCAAAAGGGAGCTTCCTCTGCAGCTGCGTGGAGTAAAGCGCAGCCTGGGTGAGTGCACTGTCACTGTCTGTGGAGCTTAGGCGAGTGCGTCTGTGGAGCTTAGGCGAGTGCGTCTCCTGGTTGAGTTCACATTATGTGAGTGGTGAGTTCACGGTCAGCGGAGCTTGCATTGCACTTATGGTCAGCATGAGGTAGCTGATCACTTGCTGACTTCTCAGTCGGCTCAAAAGTCACCGATCACTTGCGAGCGGTCCTTCAAGATTCTTGAAAATCGCGTGTTCCACTCCTCTCATTGCCTTCTCTCCTTGTCTCCCCTGCCTCTCTCCGCTCCTCCCGTGTTGCTCGTTCACGTGTGCAGTGGGCCCCTTGCTTCGCGAAGCCATGCTGTCAGCCACCTTTGACGGGGTCAGGGGCAGGTGAGGAAAGCTCAAGCAGAGGGGCAGGTGAGGAAAGCTCAAGCAGAGGGGCAGGTGAGGAAAGCTCAAGCAGAGGGTGGGTGGGACCATGTTATTTAACTGGCCACACAGTATGCTGTCAGCATCATTCGATGGGGTCAGGGGCACGTGAGGATGCGATTCAGGCTCGTAGTGGGATAGCAACAAAATCCGGAAGAAACGATCAAAGCAATAAGGGAACGAAACTCCTTTTGGCCCGGTGTTTGTACTGTACTGTGCCCATCCTCCCCACACCACCAGCGGGATATTGCTCAACTCGCACGGCGACCTGCAGTCAAACGTGACGCGCATTCTCAGCCTTTCCACTCTCCCATTCCCTCACTCAAGCGTCCACCCAATGCCCGCCGCCCCGTACCCCTGTGTTTTGCACCTATCTGCCAGGATCTCGCTCAACTCGCACGGCGACCTGCAGTCAAACGTGACGCGCATTCTCAGCCTTTCCACTCTCCCATTCCCTCACTCAAGCGTCCACCCAATGCCCGCCGCCCCGTACCCCTGTGTTTTGCACCTATCTGCCAGGATCTCGCTCAACTCGCACGGCGACCTGCAGTCAAACGTGACGCGCATTCTCAGCCTTTCCACTCTCCCATTCCCTCACTCAAGCGTCCACCCAATGCCCGCCGCCCCGTACCCCTGTGTTTTGCACCTATCTGCCAGGATCTCGCTCAACTCGCACGGCGACCTGCAGTCAAACGTGACGCGCATTCTCAACGTGATCAACGGCACCGCCGTGCCAGTCGGCTTCTGGACCTCCTCGCTGCTCCTCACGCCCTCCCTTGACGTACGCCCCCTCCCCTCCCTTGATGTACGCCCCCTCCCCTCCCTTGATGTACGCCCCCTCCTCTCCCTTGATGTACGCCCCTCCCCTCCCTTGATGTACGCCCCCTCCCCTCCCTTGATGTACGCCCCTCCCCTCCCTTGATGTACGCCCCTTTCCTCCCTTGATATACGCCCCCTCCCTTTGTTTGAGAGCTTTGTGAGCCTCTGCTTGAGCCTCCTCTCTGCTCCTCATTCCCTCCCTTGATGTACGCTCATCTGTTTGAACCTTCGCAAAAGCTTTTCAGCCTCCTCTCTGTTCCTCACGCCCTCCCTGTGCTGTGCTATGCTGTGTGCCTGCAGCTACCCCCCATGAACGGCACATCCCGCATGCTCAACATCACCTTCCCAGGCAACACTACCAAGGTGCCTCTCTCCCCTCCACCCTCCTTCTCGTCCTTTTCTCGGCACTCCCTCCTTTTGTTTGCTGGTCTTGAGAGAGTCTTGAGAATTTGCCCTCCGCTGCTCACCCTCCTTATCCTGAATGCTCATCTCTTCCCACCTCGCTTCAAGCTTCCCATTCCCACCCCCTTTCCACCCATATGCCCCTCACCCTCCTTTTCCTGTCCTCTCTTCCTCCGTTCTTCTTTCCTGCCCTTCACACCTCCACCCATCTCCCTCTCTCACCCATCGCACTCCCATTCACCCTCTTCCGTCCACCCTCCTCCCGTCCCCCCATCACCCGCTCTCTCCACCCAACAGCCCCCTTCAGGCGCCTTCCCGCGCCGCAAGCTGCTGCTAGCCGTGCCATACAAGAAAGGCTTTCAGCAATTCGTCAACATCACCCGCACCATCACCACACCCTCCTCTTCCGCCTCCGCCTCACCCGCAAACGACACCTCCTCAAATGAGTCCTCATCATACTCCTTCTCGGGGTTCACCATTGAGTTGTTCCGACTGGCAGTCAGCCAGTTGCCGTACGACGCAAACTATGAGCTCGTGCCGTTTGTGGGGGACGATGGTGATGGTGCTGACGCTCCGGTGGGATACGATGACATGCTTCAAGCAGTTGCAGACGAGGTAATGGCAGGCTTAGGGTTGTGCGTGCTTTCTAGGTCGAGGGCTCAAAGGTTTAGGGCTTAGGGAGGCTGACGATCTGGTGGGATACGATGACATGCTGCAGGCCGTGGCAAATGAGGTAGTGGCGTGCTTAGGATTGTGGGGTTTTCGAGGTTGAGGGCTTAACGCTTTAGGGCTTAGGGGTGGTGTGGCTCGTGTGCGATATAATGTACATTCCGCAGGCGGTCGGTGGCCCATGAGGTAGTGGCGGGTTCAGGGTTGCTTCTTGTGTTTCCCTTGAGAATTCTCGAAGGCGGTGGTGGTGGGGATCATGCTGGCGGTGGTGGCAGCATGCTGCAAGAAGATAAAGTTTGTGTGTATTTGTGAGCGCTATTGTTGTTTCTGTTTCGCCGCTCACATCACATCCATCTGGCTTGCTGCATCTGTCTGCATGGTGGTTGGCTGGCAGAAGTTTGACGGGGCGATTGGCGACATCTCAGTGACCCAGGCGCGGAGCATGCTGGTGGATTTCACACAACCCTACATGGTGCCTTGCTCACGCTCTCGTTGTATTTGTTTCTCACATTCCTGGACGGTGCATTGCTCATTTTACCGTGTCTCGATACGTGTTGAGACAGCAGAATTCTGCCGTAAATTGATAATAGTAATGGTAATGGTAATGATAGTGGTAATGGTAGTGGTAATGGTAATGATAGTGGTAGTGGTAATGGTAATGGTAATGGTAATGGTAATGGTAATGGTAATGGTAGTGGTAGTGGTAATGGTAATGGTAATGATAATGGTAATGATAATGGTAATGGTAGTGGTAATGATAATGGTAATGGTAATGATAATGGTAATGAAAGTGGTAGTGATTGTGGTAGTGATAATGGTAATGATGCTGGTAATGGTAATGGTAGTTGTATCTGTAATGGTACTGGTAATGGTAATGGTAATGATAATGATAATGGTAATGGTAATGGTAATGATAGTGGTAATGGTGATGGTAGTTGTATTTGTAATGGTACTGGTACTGGTACTGGTACTGGTAATGGTAATGGTAATGGTAATGGTAATGGTAATGGTAATGATAATGGTAATGGTAATGATAGTGGTAATGGTAATGGTAATGGTAATGGTAATGGTCATAATAATGGTAGTGGTAGGGTAATTGTAATCGTAATGGTCATGGTAGTGGTATTGACCATCCCTCACAGGCATCAGCAGTGAGTGTGATTGCCTACGTGCCACCCTCCAGCAGCTGGGAGATGGCACTAGCGCCTTTCACCCCATTCCAACCCCTCCTAACCCTTTCCAACCCCCCTCCACCCCTCTCAGGCGTCAGCGGTTAGTGTGATCGCGTACGTGCCGCCCTCCAGCAGCTGGTGGATGGCACTCGCGCCCTTCACGCCCTCCATGTGGGCAGCATTTCTCGGCTTGACTATCGCCACGGGGCTCATCACGGTGTTTCTCGAGTGCCGCCAGAATCCCGAGTTCCAGGGGAAGCTGCATGAGCTGCTGCAGCACGCTCTCTGGTGGGTCGCTTTGGCTTTATGTATTGGCTGATGAATGGGTATGTGGGTGCATTGTGTGCCACGGGGCTCATCACCGTGTTTCTCGAGTGCTGCCGGACCGGAACCCCGAGTTTCAAGGGAAGCTTCATGAGCTGCTGCAGCATGCCCTCTGGTGGGTGATGTGTTTGCAGCTGCTGCAGTCAAGAATGATTCTGAGAAACTAGCCGTGTTTTGAGTCGACTCAAAACACGTGATGTGTTACGAGTCGAGAATGATTCTGAGAAATATTGATATCAGCTTCACACAGCCTTGCGTTCTTCATGCTAATCTGCGCTTCATGTGTGTTCCTTCTAATCCCCTCTTTCTAATCCCCTCCTTCTAATCCCCTCCCACAGGTTTGGCTACCTCTCTGCCTTCTCCTTTCTCGGTGAGTCCTGCACTCATCCAACCTCACTCGCACCCTCACTCTCACCCTCACTCGCACCCTCACTCTCACCCTCACTCGCACCCTCACTCTCACCCTCACTCCCATCCTCACTCATACCCTCACTCGCACCCTCACTCGCACCCTCACTCGCTCCCTCACTCTCACCACGCCAGCAACATCCATCTCATCTCACCACTCAAGTCTTGAGACGTCTTTACACCCAGCTCCCACCATTCCTCTACCATCCCGCACCGTTCCCCTCCCCAAGTCACGTTTTTTACTTCTTTTCCTTCTTCCTTCTCCCAGAGAAGCCGGTGCGGACGGTGATCGCGCGGATAGTGCTGGCGCTCTGGCTGCTGGTGACCCTCGTTGTAGTCACATCCTACACAGCCAACATGACGTCTATAATCACGGTCAACATGCTCACAGTACCCTCGCTGGACGTGAACAGTGTCATCAACGCCAACAACCCCATCGCCTACCAGGCGGGGTCGTTCATAGAGGGTTACCTCTTGCAGCTGGGCGTGCAGAAGGTAAGACAGCTTCCCACACCCACATCCCACCCAAAAGGAACCTCAAACAGCCTCATCCCCTACCAGGCGGAGTTATTCATTGAAGGATACCTCCTGCAGCTGGGGGTGCAGAAGGTAAGACCACTCATGCCCCTCGGGCCTCTGCTCCCCCTTGCCACTTCTTAGCACAACATGAAACCACTTAGCAGCGCAATGATTTGCCTCTTTCTGTCCCTCCCACGCCTAAGTTGGATCTTACGTTTACGGTTCCTTACGTTTTCGTAAAATTACGACAATTTTTACGTTTACGAACGGTGGCCCTGATTCGGCCTTACGTTTACGGTCACCTCAAAACTTTTTTGAGCTGCCCAAGGGAAAAGAAATGACCAGAGTATTAGGGGGATTCATTGGGTAAACCATGAATCTGAATTCTCGATTCAGATCCAAGTTCGACAAGGGTGGTGTCAACCTAGCAGCTCGTTCGTAATCTATCGTGTTTCTCTCCTACTAACCAGGTCAACGCTGAATCTGAAACTTTCACGGACTCAAAAGGCCCTCCATACGTAGTAAAGTCGCTATTCTAGAAAAACACACGTCGGATTAGTAGTAAGGATCTAGTACACGTACATAATCCTGGAAAAAAAAGCTCTAAACTTTTTTTTTTCCTGCCCGCCTCATACTTACGCGTAATTTACGTTTTCGTTTACGTTTACGCGAAATTTACGTTTACGTGACCTCCAAAAACGTAAGAGCCCAACTTAGTCCCACGCCCCATCCCTGTACCCGTTATAGCACAACATGGTGCCGCTTAGCAGCGCCGGGGAGTACAGCAGTGCGCTGGTGGCTGGGAGGGTGAGAGTGATGGTGGATTAGGATCCGTACTTGGATCTGCTGAGGGCCAACCATTGCCTCTGTCTGTCCCACTCTCCCTCCCCTCTTTACACCCCTTACAGCACAACATGGTACCATTAAACAGTGCAGAGGAGTACAGCAGTGCGCTGGTGGCTGGCTGGTAGGGCGAAGGTGGTGGTGGATGAAGATCCATCCCTGGACCTGCTGAGAGCCACCACTGTCTCTTTCCGTTCCCTCCCACTCTCCCTTCATTGTACCCTCTGCAGCACAACATGGTGCCTCTCAACAGTGCAGAGGAGTACAGCAGTGCGCTGGTGGCAGGGAGGGCGAAGGTGGTGGTGGATGAGGATCCTTATTTGGACCTGCTGAGGGCCAACCATTGCAGCATGGCTCAAGTCAAGCAGCCCTTCTCCTTCCTCAGCATGGCATTCGTGAGTAAAAGTGTGAGAGTGAGAGTGAGTGTGAGTGTAATGTGAGTGAGAGTGAGAGTGGTGGTGGATGACGACCCTTACCTGGACCTGCTGCGGGCGAACCACTGCAGCATGGCGCAAGTCAAGCAGCCCTTCTCCTTCCTCAGCATGGCATTTGTAAGTGAGAGAGAGTGGGAGTGAGAGTGTGAGTGTGTAAGAGTGAGGTGAGAAAATGTGAGTTGTGAGTGTGAGAGGGGTGTGTGTGGACAAGGGTTTGTCAGCATGAGTACTGCTGGGAGGGCCGTGACAGTGCCTTGAGGGATCTAAACCAGCTTTTCTTCATCATATACATATGCATATACGTATACGTACACGTACACATACACGTATGCATATACACATACACATACACATACACATACACATACACATACACATACACATACACATACACATACACATACACATACACATACACATACACATGCAGATGCAGATGCAGATGCAGATGCAGATGCAGATGCAGATGCAGATGCAGATATAGATGCAGATGCAGATGCAGATGCAGATGCAGATGCAGATGCAGATGCAGATGCAGATGCAGATGCAGATACACCTACACCTACACCTACACCTACACCTACACCTACACCTACACCTACACCTACACCTACACCTACACCTACACCTACAGCTACAGCTACAGCTACAGCTACAGCTACAGCTACAGCTACAGCTACAGCTACAGCTACAGCTACAGCTACAGCTACAGCTACACCTACACCTACACCTACACCTACACCTACACCTACACCTACACCTACACCTACACCTACACCTACACCTACACCTACACCTACACCTACACCTACACCTACACCTACACCTACACCTACACCTACACCTACACCTACACCTACACCTACAGCTACAGCTACAGCTACAGCTACAGCTACAGCTACAGCTACAGCTACAGCTACAGCTACAGCTACAGCTACAGCTACAGCTACATCTACATCTACATCTACATCTACATATGCATGCATACACATACACATACACATGCACATACGCATACGCATACATGTACACATTCACAGATACATATCCATCCACCCCCCTCCCCTTCCCCGCCCCCCTTCCCCCATGCCAGGCGTTCCAGAAGGGATCGCAGCTGCGCAGAGACATCTCAGCAGCGATTCTCCACCTGACCATGACAGGCGAGCTGGACGCACTTGAAGAGCAGTACCTCCTGGGAGGGTCCCGGCAGTGCCCCGACACGCTCATGCCGGAGGCACCGGCAGTGCTGGCGAATGAGAACTTCTGGGGGCTGTTTGTGGGGTATGCCGTGGTATCTCTGGCGTGCTGCCTGCTGTATGTGGGCCTGCTGGTGTTCCGCGGTGCCATGGTTGCGAGGTGAGAAGGGGTTGTGGGGATGGGGACTTGGGAGTGGGGAGTGAAGGCTGTTTGTGGGGTATGCTGTGGTTTCGCTGGCGTGCTGCCTGCTGTATGTTTGGCTGCTGATGTTCCGCGGTGCCATGGTTGCGAGGTGAGACAGGGGTGGGGTTGGGGTTGGGGAGTGGAGATGGGGTTAGGAACGAGGATAGAAGTGGGAATGGGAAACATGATTCTCACACTCTGCTTTACCCCCTCTGTGTGCTGTTGTAGGGAGCTGTCACAGCAGCAAGTCAAGTCTTACAACACTCACATGGCTGACTTCATTCCTACTGAAGCTAGCATAGAGATTCCTCGTCAACACACTCTCTCGCTCTCACTCTCACTCTCCCCGCTGTGTGTGTGGCTTCTTGCAGGGAGCTGTCACGGCAGCAAGCCAAGTCATACGACGCCGACATGGCTGAATTCGTTCCCACAGAAGCAGGCATAGAGATTCCTTGCCAACACACCCTCACACTCTCACTCTTCTCCCTGCGTGTGTTTCTTCTTGCAGGGAACTATCAATGCAGCAAGCCAAGTCATACAACACTGACATGGCTGAATTCGTTCCCACAGAAGCAAACCAGCCTGCACAAGTGGCACTTGCAAAGTTTCTCACACTCTGTTTTACCTACCCCCTGCGTGTGTTTCTTCTTGCAGGGAACTATCACGGCCGCAAGCCAAGTCATACAACACCGACATGGCTGAATTCGTTCTCAGTCCCATAGAAGCAGGCATAGAGATCCCTTGCCAACACACTCACACACTAGCACTCTCCCCCCTGCGTGTGTTTCTTCTTGCAGGGAGCTGTCACGGCAGCAAGCCAAGTCATACAACACAGACATGGCTGAATTCGTTCCCACAGAAGCAGCAAATCAGCCCGCTCTGGCGACACCTCCTCCTGCCTCTCCCTTTAAGAACGACCCGCTAGCGCTTATAGAGGAGATGGGAGATGAAGAGGACGAGGATGAGGATGAAATTGAGGAGATTTTCTACTCTGCCCGTATGAAGGGCTTCGATGGTGATCATGGGAATGGTGTGGGTGGTGGGAAGGAGGAAAAACTTGTGCTGTCAGCACCCAAGGCGCATGCTCAGACAGCAGAGGGTGCTGAAGCAGGGGTTGAAGAATTTGCAACAGCAGCATCGATAGCGATGGGAACAGGAACAGCAGCAGCATCAGCAGCAGCGGTGCTGTCACCAGTATCGCCGTTAACACGAGGAGCGTCAGCAATCGCAGCAGCATCACCAATATCACCAATATCGCCAGAATCAGCGGCAGAAGAAGCAGAAGCAACACCAGCATCACCAATCGCACAGGCATCAACAGTACCATCTGCTTCTGCTGCTGCTGCAACCGCAGAGCAGGGAGCAGAGAGCAGCGCAACCGCAGAAGAGGGCGCAGCTCAACAGCTGGCCAGCAGGCCCGGCATGAAGGGAACAGCGAGCTTGGGGAAGTCTCAGAAAGCGCGGCGGCAGTCTAGCACACCCGGCATGAAGGTGGCAGCAAGTTTCGTTGCCGTGGGCTCTCTGCACAAGCGAGTGGGCAACCTCATCGACCGCTTTCAAAAGGTACCTCCCTCACCCTCCAACCGCCTCTTTTCTCACCGCCTCTTTCTCTGCTCCTCTCTCTTTTAGCCGACTCATAACCGGCTCCTTGAGTTGACCTAAGAATCCCTCCCTCTCGACCCAAAACTTAAAACCTCTTGTTCAACCCCACCACCTCTCCCAACAGGGTCAAGAGTGGAGCAAGGAGCGCCATGCACGCGCATCTGCCCCTGGTATTACCGCCTCTGCCTCTGGTATTACCGCATCTGCCTCTGGTATCAAAGCCTCTGCCTCCGCTTCCTCGCTCTCTGACATGGCCCCTGAAGACCAGCCAGCAGCAGTAGGCAGTGGCAGCAGCAGTTTCGGCAGCACCGCTCCCCACGCACTCCCTCACGTTCCACTCGGTCGCCGCGCGGGAAAAAGGTTGAGAGAAGCTAGGTTAACGGGTAGTCTAACGGCTGGTACCCCCAAAGCTGGCGACAAGCCCGGTGCCAAGCCGGTGGCCAGGTCTGGATCCGTACCTGACTTGGGCCTTCAAGCAGGGTCGGGAGCAGCACCGGCAGCGTCATCTTCTAATAAGCTGGTTTCGACGTTAAGATCCAGCAAGCAGGCGCAGAAGCAAGGGCAGGTGATCAAAGTGCTGCCGTCTCGGCAATTGCCAGCTCCAGGGCATTTCAGTGGGCGGAATTTCTTTGATGTGGATGATGACGACGACGATGACGATGATGTTGACTTTGGTATATACGAGGATGGAGATGATGACGATTCTGGGGATGACAGTTCCTTGCCGCAGCTGAAGTGAGCATATGCTCCTGTTCTCATCAACAAAAATCTTTCCAGTCCAGAGCTGCTGAGTTCAATCAAGGTGAGAAAACAGGGTAAAAGTAGTAATGAATTTGCTATCCTGCCTTTCTGTTATCTTTTTTACCATTCACATATGTTCATGCACACGTGTTTGTGTGTGTTTCTCTTTTTCTTCACCCTGCAGGAGTGGTTTCTTTGTGTAGTTTTATTGCAATTGTGGCACTCACTGTACCGTATGTGTTTTTTTGTTGTAATTGCTCAGGGAAATGACACTGGCCCGAAGGGAGCCAATGATGGCAGCCGCTACGTGGCTGCAGTGTTGGCTCGGCTGACGAATCGCGTCGCGATGGTCCAACGGCTGCTGTCATTCCCCCTCCACCTGTTGCCTTCCGTTCAGTTGTCACTTTCCTTTTGGTGACAGAACGGAGGCAACAGGTGTATCTTCCGAAAGGACAGCGGACAATGGGAATGCCGCGAGTCGCGCGAGATATGTTCGCAGAAAGATCAAACGAACTTCGCGAAGGCCAGCATGGATGAGGAAGGGGAGAGAATGACTCCAGTGGCCAAAAACGTGATTCACCATCCCTCGCCTGGCCACGAATGACTCGAATGGCCACCAAATTTGGTGATAATGACTCGAGTGGCCACGCCAGGGGATTTTAGCTGAATTTTTTTTCTTTGTCGCATTACCCTACGGGGCTTTGTAGCCCTGAAATTCCCCATTCCTGCGAGGGTTATCCTGAGGTAGCGTACATAACCATTGACCCCCCGAAATTTTCGCCAGAGTGGCGGGCGCGAACGTGGCCCGCCCACTGTACAGGAAAACGACAAATATTCCGAACAATCGTGTTTGTGCGACCAATTTCGAGCTAATGCGAGGTCATATTCCAAACCAATCAGCGATCGAGCATATCCAACCGCGATCATATACTTCTATTGACCCGAAACTTGCCGTCACAGCAATAACGACCGCGCATGATTGGTCAAGATTTATGCGCGGTGCTATTGTGGCCATTGCGCGTCCAATCAAACACATTCTTTAAAGCGAGCAGGCAAAATAGTCACCCTTGGCCCAGTTTGAAACTCTGGCACTGTTTAGAGAGGGTGCTCTGGGCTCGACAAGATGGGGCTCACTGTCCATTTGACCCGTGTCATTCCAAGGTACAGGCTGAAACAAAAATAGGCGATTGGACAACAATGTCCTGGGTCGAATGCGAACAATGGCATTGGTGGGTCTGCTCGCAAGCAAACGAAGGCACCGCGTGGGTTATCCTGTGCGACAGGGGATCGAAATCGAATGTCATGCTCTGCTGGGAGAGGAGTACACGAAATGAACTGACGCGCTGGGAACAGAGCCACAAAACCAGGTGCAAAAACAGAAGTGCGCAAGACTGGGTCCACTGGGCCCAATTTGAGCTTCAAAGTGGACCTGGGTTGCACTATGGCTTGCCATACTATTTTCACGTCATACGGCACTAGAGACTCCAGAGCAAAGGGAGAGTAACCCACCACGGCTTAGTAACGCGTGAAAGGGGCCGCGCGCGTAGCGTTGTTTTTCTGTTTCGGTCATAGCTGTCAATCGTGTGCCTTCTCAGTGCTGGCGCCGTCAGTATCAGCCAGAACAGAGCGAATGCAGTGATTATTCTTACCAACATCGAAGGAGATATCAGGGACAAGGTAGCGGGAAGCATAGATAGATGTAGCAAACAGGGACCCCATCGTTTCAGGTGTGACGGACTCAATGCGTTTCGCATATCATGTGAACACGTGACACTACGTTCAACGAGGACGAATATCTCGAATGTATACTCATCAGGTGCGATTCGGAACCGGCGTGAGGCGTATGGGAGCAAGCCATTATATCACGCATGCGACCGTGACGCATGCGGCCTCGTGATATGCTGCGCAATGCAGTAGAACAAACTGCAAGGCGCCCCTACTCGTTTTCTAACAGATTAGAAGCAACGTCGCGACCCCCCGTCACAGTCGAACACAAGGCGGCGCGAAGCGCCGAAGCGCGCTTGTGTTCGACATTGCATAGGCTCAACGCTGCACCTATTATTCAGATTTCGAACGGCTTGCAACGCCTCGAACCTTGCCTACTAGATCCGCGCGGAATGCAAGGCATAGCGCCGCGCTTCTCGTTTAGGCACGGAATGCCTGATGCACAGCGCCGCGTCAGCTTGTTTCCACACGGAAACAAGTAGGGAAGAGCGCCACGCCTGCTTGGCGTCACACGGAATGCAAGGCCCAGCGCCGTGCCTGCTCGTTTTCACACGGAATGCAAGGCCCAGCGCCGTGCCTGCTCGTTTTCACACGGAATGCAAGGCCCAGCGCCGTGCCTGCTCGTTTTCACACGGAATGCAAGGCCCAGCGCCGTGCCTGCTCGTTTTCACACGGAATGCAAGGCCCAGCGCCGTGCCTGCTCGTTTTCACACGGAATGCAAGGCCCAGCGCCGTGCCTGCTCGTTTTCACACGGAATGCAAGGCCCAGCGCCGTGCCTGCTCGTTTTCACACGGAATGCAAGGCCCAGCGCCGTGCCTGCTCGTTTTCACACGGAATGCAAGGCCCAGCGCCGTGCCTGCTCGTTTTCACACGGAATGCAAGGCCCAGCGCCGTGCCTGCTCGTTTTCACACGGAATGCAAGGCCCAGCGCCGTGCCTGCTCGTTTTCACACGGAATGCAAGGCCCAGCGCCGTGCCTGCTCGTTTTCACACGGAATTCAAGTCACAGCAACGCGCCTGCTCGTTGTTACGCGGAATGCAAGGCATAGCCCCGCGCATGCTCGTTTCCACACGGAATGCAAGGCACAGTCCCGCGCATGCTCGTTTTCCCACGGAACGCAAGGCACAGTCCCGCGCATGCTCGTTTCCACACGAAATGCAAGGCGCAGTCCCGCGCATGCTCGTTTTCACACAAAATGCAAGGCACATTCCCATTTATGCTCGTTTTCACACATGATACAAGGCCCAGCCTCCCCATTTCCCCTTTTCTCTGACCTCCCCATTTCCCCTTCCTCTGCAAATTCAATTCCCCTTGCCCCTGTCACTCCCCATTTCCCCTTCCCTCTGTCCCTTCCCCATTTCCCATTCCCTCTGTCCCTTCCCCATTTCCCCTTCCCTCTGTCCCTTCCCCATTTCCCCTTCCCCCAGACCCTCCCCATTTCCCCTTTTCTCTGACCTTCCCCATTTTCCCTTCCAATACCAGCCCAAGTCCCCTTGTCCCTGTCACTCCCCATATCCCCATTTCCCCGCCACTCCGTGTTTCCCCTTCCCCCGGTCCCCCATTATTTCCCCTTGTCTTGTCACTCCCCTTATCCCCTTACCCCTGTCCCTCCCCATTTCCCCTCTTCTCTGACCTTCCCCATGTTCCCTTCCAATGCCAGCCCAATTCCCCTTGTCCCTGTCACTCCCCATTTCCCCTTTCCCCTGTCACTCCATGTTTCCCCTTCCCCCAGTCCCTCAGCATTTCCCCTTGTCCTGTCACTCCCCTTATCCCCTTCCCCCAGTCCCTCCCCATTTCCCCTTTTCTCTGACCTTCCCCATGTTCCCTTCCAATGCCAGCCCAATTCCCCTTGTCCCTGTCACTCCCCATTTCCCCTATCCCCTGTCACTCCATGTTTCCCCTTCCCCCAGTCCAAGGTGTACGGAGTCATAACTGATGGGGGAACTAGTTTCAAGACGGTGGTGGCTTCCATGGGGTTGAAGCATCAGCAGGACGTGTGGCACATGGCCAGGACACTTATCAAGGCATTGCTGCGAGAGTTGGTGGATGCTCGCAAAGACGAAAATATGAAGGTAGAGGCGGCACGGACCATTGAGGACCTTTGGCACATCAAGAAATCAGCATTATTCGGGTGGCTTGAAAAGACGGGGTGCAAAGGGGATCTGACAGTTTCGTCCATCAAGGAGGCGCTTATAAGGGCGGTGTGCTCCGGTCTTGGCACCATCGCTTTCAAGACCATCGATCCTTCGGAGGCATCCTATAAGCATCCAGAGTTGCGACAGGTGGTTGTGCGATTGGCTGGGATAGGCACTGGAACAAATCATCTCGCAGAGGCGATTCGGGCACTTGATGATGCACCCACAGTGCCGTCGGAGGGAGAGACAACGGCTGACAGCAATGCGGTAGTGTTCGAGGACGTGGCTCAGATGTTTGCCTGGGACCCACACCCAGTGTACGGGGCACGCCCGTCGTCATACGCATCACTGCTGCTGGCCCAGGAGGTAGCCGGGCGATCAGACACGGTTGCGGCAACTACAGAAACTGGGGCTGAAATGACAGAGCAAGGTGAGACGCTCGACTCTCTTTGTGTCATTACATGCAAGGGTTTGTTTTATTCGCGCATTGTATCTCACTAAGCCCCCCCTCTACCACTTCACACATTCACTATCTTGGGTGTCTAATCTCAATGCGGTTCCACGTGTCGCTCGCTAATGCATTTGTGCTCCTATGACATGCTTCTCCCCTCTTGCAACGGCCCGTGTGTAGAAGAAGTTGCGGCCACCCTGGCAGAGATTGGGGAAGTCAGGGATCGCGGGTGGTGGGACGACACGGTGCAAAACCCGGAACCCAGTATTCAACCACCAATGGGTCGTGATGCAGAGGGCACTGTCAAGGCCAGAGAAGGGGAGAGGCGGTGGGTGCGCAAGGCGAAAAGAAGTAGGCGCGCCAAGGCTACGGAGACAGGGGGTACTGATAGGGGGATTGATCCACCCGAAGGCATGGCAGCTGTTGAAGAAGTCAGTGTTGCCCAACGGTACAGCATACACTTTCATCATGTGATGACGCGGTGTGCCACGCTTGCTAAAGAGGGCCGGCCCATGTCTCCTGGTGATGTAGCAGATGAACTTGCTTTATCCGCAGAGCATTGGGCTGGAGATCACTCAAGATGTGCACGGCATGGCATTATCCCGCGGTGTGTAGCCGATTCGTGGGGTCCCGAGAGTGCGGTATACGAACACGGTGGCACCACACATCTTGCTTTTCGCGAGTGGCTAAGTAAGCACTGTAGCGCGGGGAAGATGCAACCATTCGTCCTAGGAGCGTCGAGCTGGGTGAACGAATCCTTTCACTCCGTCATATGCAAATACGCGCCGAAGAGAATTCACTTTCGTGGAAGTATGGAAGCAAGGATTGCTCTCTCCATACTTCACTGGAACAACACAGTTGAACGGCTTGTGAGAAGACATATTGTGAGGCTACGGCGTGCAACGCGTGTGCGACGAGGGAAAAAGGGTCGCGTGCTTGGGCCGATGAATTGGCAATGGACCAAAGATATTTTCAACGAGTGGCGTCTCTCCTCCTCCATCACACCTTAGAGATGTACAATTATCGGGTAAGTTATGTCTTTGTTATCATTGTTGTACATAAGCGCTTTCATTGCACGCCGTAAATGACACCATGTGTGCTCACGCCATTTCATGCATCAATCATAACCATACCTTTTACACTATTCTTTTGTGTTGGACTAGGTGCGGGCATAGTGGGGAGGCCATTCATGACACCACGCAAGCGTCAGCGAAGCGTCCCACAAGAATAGTGCATCACGAGGTACCTTTCTTACATCCGCTGCCTCAAAAACCTCACCACTCACACCCCTCTTCCCCCCCCCCCCCTCCACCCCTCCCCCCCTCCCTCTTTGTCCCAACCACCCCCCCCCCCCCCCCCCCCCCCCCACCGCTGCATGTGCAACTCCATCCCCCCCATTTGGTTTCTCCCCTCCCCCCTCCCCCCCCCCCCCCCCATTTCCCCCTTACCCTCCGGTGTATCCCTCCCCCCCTTTCCTTCGCACTCACACCTCCACCCAACCCCGCTGCTATGACTCTCACTGCTGAAAATCTTTCACCCCTCCGGCGATCTACGGTCACACTCCCCGCTGTCCTTGCAATGCCACCCACACTCAACCCCCAAACCCCTCACACTTTCCCATTCCCCCCTGCTATTGCGACTCACCCACCAATCGATGGCCATCATTCACACACGCGGGACACTTACCCAAATCACACCTTCCCACTTTCGTACATCCGCTGCTCCAGTCTGCTTTTGCCCTATCTAAGCAGTATCCCTATTCCCTCGATCCCCTGCCCTCACTCACCTATCTCTCTGATTTGTCTTTCTGCTCCTTCCCACACCGACTATGAGAATCGAATCATTCGGTCCTTTCCATCCCCACCCACCTTAGTCACACACACCCCTCCGCCCCCACTCAACCCCTACCCTTCTCTCAGTTGCTCACCTTCCTTCCCGTCACTCCCACTCCCCACATGTGCTCTCGATTACCCGCTTCGGCCCCACATGCCCACTGCAACCTGTTACAGTATCTCCCTCAACTTTGACCACTAATCACTCCACACTGGCTAAACCCTTGGCAGGTATGATGATGGTACCTACTCCCTCTGTAAGCGCTTTTTTTTTGCTTTTTGTTTGTTTGTTTGTTTTTTGTTTTTTGTTTTTTTTTTTTGCACCCAACAAGTGAACAACACTAAGACGCCCTCCACTCGCTTCCGTTTTTCTATGATTTTCCACACCACAGGCTCGCCAGACTATCCGCCCTTGGGTCATACACCCGGCTCATCTTCCATGGACATTGAGATCAGATTTTTTTTATTCCATTATATTTGGGGCTTACATCACCCTATCTCCGTCTGCGTGTCTGCCAACAGCATGTATCAATAAGAGTTAACTCTTCTCTCCACATAGGTTCTTTGCTAGTTTCACACAACGATGTGACCCGACGAGCTGCCAAACAGTGGCCATATCCTCAATGTCTGAAAGCTGGGACGTTCAATTTGTTTCATGGACGCACAACCCAAGTCAACATTAGAAGGTTTTGCAAACATTGATATTGTAGGGTGAAATTCACTAGCTGCTCCTTTGTCTGTACTACCAACAGCCCCACCAGCAACAGCCCCACCCTGTCGATGTGCTGTGCGCTGCGGCAGTGGCAGCGGCAACACGTGCTTCTCTGCGGTGAAAGGCGACCAAAGATACAGCTCCAGCAGCACTGACAGGCCTGTGTGTTGGGGTGGACACAGGGCAGTAGACTGAAGACATCAACACAGAGATGGAATGAAAGGGTGTGAGCGGGATGAAATGAGAGTGAGAGGGGGATGGACTGAGAGTGAGAGTGGGATGGAATGAGAAAGATGAGGGTGGGAAGGAATGAGAGTGGGAGGGCGTGAAGACTGGGGAAGTGAAGGATCCGCACCTTGCTGTCAGTATCCTGATGCGATGCTTCTAGGTCGTCCTCCTGGCAGGGAGGATGTGGGAAGGGGGGAGCAGGAGCAGGATGGGGGAAGAGGCAAAGAAGAAGCAAAGCAGGGTCGGGGAGGGGCACATGGGCAGGGAGAGGATAGACCTATGGAGAGGTAGAGTAAGGGATCAAGGGGAGGCCCCTTGAAAATGGCAGCACTGCAAATGCATTAGCAATTGCTTGCTCCAGGGATCTGGCAGGCCCTTCAGCTATCATATCCCTCTCCCTTTCCCTCTGACCCATCGATCCCCTCATCTCATACCCTGGGCTCACCTGGCGTGTGGGAAAATATCACCTGAGAATATGGAGGGGGGCCCAAGAAGGGAAGGGGATAGGGGGATGCAGGGAAGGGGATGGGGAGAAGCAGGGCAGGGGATCGGGGGAAGCAGGGCATGCACGAGAGAGGAGCAGGGAAAGGGAACGCGGGCAGACGAGAAGGATAAGCACCAAACTCACATGACCGGCCTTCTAATTCCCACACCTAACGGCCCATCAATCCCTTCCCCCAAACCCACCTTTACCAAATCCCCGTACCTCACACGCCCGTCTTTTCTGTGCCATGTGTGCAACGTTCCAGTCACGGATTTCCATGCTGTCTCCTGCATCAGGTTCCTCACAATCTGGCTCCTCGGCTGGTCCCAATCGCTAACCCCCTCCTTACTGCCCACCTGCCCACCTGCCCACCTGTGTAGCGCGCCATGGTGCCTGGAAGATGAAATGCGGACCAGGAAACGCGAAGGCAGGAAGGAAAAATGGAAGGAAGGCAGACGCATGTCTCAGCTTTGTCCTTTCCGTTGACTTGAAGGAAGCCGCCGTAATGATACACTTGCCCACCTGTGTACCGCGCCAAGGTGTCTGATGGAGGGGAGTGGATGGGAGTGGAGGGGAGTGGAGGGGAGTGGAGGGGAGTGGATGGGAGTGGAGGGGGGTGGAGGGGAGTGGAGGGGAGTGGATGGGAGTGGAGGGGAGTGGAGGGGAGTGGAGGGGAGTGGAGGGGAGTGGAGGGGAGTGGAAGGGAGTGGAGGGGAGTGGAGGGGAGTGGAGGGGAGTGGAAGGGAGTGGAGGGGAGTGGAGGGGAGTGGAGGGGGGTGGAGGGGAGTGGAGGGGAGTGGAGGGGAGTGGAAGGGAGTGGATGAGAGGGAGACTAGGAATAACATAGACGCATCTGGCTCCGGAGCTTGTCCCCCCCGTTGACCAGATGGAAGCCGCCGTAATGATACACCTGCCCACCCGTGTAGTGCGCCAAGGTGCCTGGTGAGTGAGGGGGGCAGGGAGGCAGGTAGGCAGAGAGGCAGGGAGGGAGGGAGGCAGGGAGACAGGGAGGCAAGAGGGACAGAGAGACAAGAAAGGACTTAGACGCATCTGGATCCGCAGCTTGTCCCCGTCATTGGCCGGATGGAAGCCGCTGAAGTGATACACCTGCCCACCTGTATAGCGCGCCAAACGTGCCTGGAGGAGGGTGGAGGGGAGTGGAAGAGCGAAGAGCGGAGACACGAAGCAGCTAGTGTTGGAGCAGTTGGGCAGGTGTACCATTTCAGGTCAGGTGCCCACCCACGTCAATGCCAGGTGGCCAGGTGGAGTGGAACCCTGACTACTAGCGCCGCACCTGAGGATCTTCACTCATAGCGGAAGAGCTGCAATTCTGAAGATTGGAAAACGCTTAAAGCAACAGCATCGAAACTTAGAAAATTCTTCCTGGAAAAAAGCTCAGTAGAACTCGTAAAACCCTTTCACTAAAGCAGAACCTTACAGCACAAACCAGTTTTCGGCTCACGGGGATCATACCCGCTCAGCCTTCATCAGTGTAGCTCGGATCCACAAAAGAAAAGGTTCGGACAGAAGCAGGCTAAGTAGCTAGCACATGCCCTCGAGATCTACAGCAAAAACGAACAACTACCCAGAGTGACAAATCACTCGGCCAGCTAAGCGATTGGGGTACACCCAGGGTGCAAAGTCAGCCCTCGGGGAAATCTTCGTCAACCTGTTCGTTGATGTAACCGCGCACGCATCAGTAACTTTTGCAAGTTACACGCACACTTCCAAGCTGTAATAATTCTCTCCGATTGAAATCCGCGTGCAGTGAGGTCGTTTTTGAGGCGCCTCAAAAACCACCCACGTCAATGCCAGGTGGCCAGGTGGAGTGGAACCCTGACTACTAGCGCCGCACCTGCCCGCTCACCAGTGTGGCACGGCGAGGTGTGTAGAGGAGAGCGGAGTGGAGGGTGAGCAGGAACATGCCAAAACCAACTCACCAAGAGAAGCCAGGTCGCAGTTTTTGCTGCTGAAGACAAACATTTCGACACAAATCTGCGCGCGGGAGAACTCGGCCGCTGGTGACTTATAAAAAGCGTCTTCAGAGCAGTGCGCGGTCGAGCTCCCTGTCCGTGCCGTACAGCCGGGGATCGTCGCCTCTCAGCCTCAGCCTGCCTGCTCCGATGCAGGGTATAGGATGGGGGGATGCAGGGTACAGGATGGGGGGATGCAGGGTAGGGGACGGGGGATGCAGGGTAGGGGACGGGGGGAAGCAGGGAAGGGGATGGGGGGAAGCAGGGAAGGGGATGGGGGGAAGCAGGGAAGGGGATGGAGGGAATCAGGGGAGGGGATGGGGGGAAGCAGGGCAGGGGATCGGGGGAAGCAGGGCAAGGGATCGGGGGAAGCAGGGCAGGGGATCGGGGGAAGCAGGGCAGGGGATCGGGGGAAGCAGGGCATGCACGAGAGAGGAGGGGTACATGGGAGGGACAGGAAAGAGGGTGAGATAGAGGGAGAGGAGGGGCATATGAAGAAGGTGAAGGCTCACCTGGTGTGTGGCGCTAACCTCTCTGATGGTGGGGGGAAGCAGGGCATAGGGAGGGCGGAAGCAGGGAGGAGGGAGGGGGGAAGCAGGGCGGAGGGAGGGGGGAAGTAGGGGGGAGGGAGGGGGGAAGCAGGGCGGAGGGAGGGCGGAAGCAGGGAGGAGGGAGGGGGGAAGCAGGGCGGAGGGAGGGGGGAAGTAGGGGGGAGGGAGGGGGGAAGCAGGGCGGAGGGAGGGCGGAAGCAGGGAGGAGGGAGGGGGGAAGGGGAAGCAGGGAGGAGGAGGGAGGGGGGAAGCAGAGCGGAGGGAGGGGGGAAGCAGGGCGGAGGGAGGAGGGAAGCAGGGAGGAGGGAGGGGGGCAGCAGGGAGTAGGGAGGAGGGAAGCAGGGAGGAGGGAGGGGGGAAGCCGGAGAGGGACAGGAGAATAGGTTGTAAGGGAGGCAGGTCAAAATAAAGAGGGGTGTAAACGGTGATGCCAGAAGTGAGGGGGACTGGGGGAGGGAGTGAGGGGTGTACAGGCTCTCCCCCTCTCTCTCTCCCTGTCTGCCCCTCCCCCTCCGTTCTTCCCCTCTGTCCTTCCCCTGCAGTCTCTCCCCCTCAGTCCTTCCCCTTCTTTCTCTCCCCCTCTGTCCTTCCCCTTATGCCTCTCCCAATATATCCTGCCCCCTCTGTCTCTCCCCCTGTGTCCTTGTCCCTTTGTCTCAAACCCTCGGTCCTTACCCCTCTCTCCTGAGAGGAGTACATGAGAGGGACATTGGAAGGGGGGAAGAGAGCAAGGTAGTGAGGGACGGAGGAAAGGAAGCGAGGGGAGAGATGGGGGTTCCCAGGAGAGATGGAGGGAGGAAGAGGCGATTCGGGTGGTTGGAGGTGTGCTACCGGGGGAATCATTGGCGGACTTCATGTGCGAGTATAGGCTGCGCGCGCGAGAAAATGAAGAGGCGGGGTCGACGGGGAGAAGCGCGTGGGCAACGACGAGGCGGGGGCGACGAGGTTCCGCGCGTGGGACAGATTGCGAGGCGGGGGCGACGCGGTCCAGCGCGTGGGAAATGACGAGGCGGGAGCGACGGGGTGAAGCGCGTGGGAAATCGCGAAGCGGGGGCGACGAGGAGATGTTGAATTAAAGCAGTTTCGCGACTAAATCAGCCACGTGCACGGGAAGAAACAGGCACAAACGGACTCACTTGCACACATCCGCGCATGCAACATTTCGATCGGTTCTGGTGTCGGGCTAGCGCGCGCTGCGCCGTGCCTCAACAGAATCGATACTAGCTTCGACTAATCGCCGCGGGAGGTGCTACTACAGCTATGCTACTCAGTGTCGAGCGGTTTTGGTGCCAGACATTTAGTCAGGGGGTTGGCAGGGCGTGTTCGAGATGGGCGCTGCTCATTTCTCACGTGGCTTCTGTTGAATATGTTTCAATTGGGGTGGTTCTGTCGCGGGTTGCTGGTGCTGCAGGAGTGTTCATTCTGCCTTGACGGTCCAATCAGAAGATGCAAATCCTACACATGATTGGGTGAGGAGAAGGTTTGATCGCTAATGCATTCACAATGCTGTCGCCAACCACACATGCGATCAACTGGGCCCTGATTTTTTTTTTGCTCCCCTCCCGTGGGGTACATGCCTCCTTTCTCTTGGCGCGTAAATTCTGGCCATCCACCCGCACTCCTTCCCGCCACTTCACTCATTTCAACCTGGACCCAACTAGAAAACGGGGTCACTATTTTGCCTGCTCGCTTTAAGGTTTGGCGATCATATTTGAACGCGTTCATATATACACAATTCCCTATATGATCCCGCCAATCATATACTAAAAACACTCGCACAAAAGTTAAACTCTAGCCAATTAGGTTCGTATTAAGGCGCTCAATCTTGTTTGGTACGCCCTTTCCATCTTCCCGCGCTTTACCATTTGACCAGGGCTCTTGCTAGGATCTGAGGACGTCTGATTCTGTCAGACGGGTCCCCCAGGCAAAACAATTGTTTTGTCTGATCTAGATAGGAAAATCAGATGGATATATAGAAATGAGTCTGAAAATCAGACCATCAGACCAAAATGGTCTGATAACGAGAGCCCTGCATTTGACCCATATGCTGAAGATCGCTCACAACAGTTCTTCTCGTCGTTTTAGGGTTCACATCTACCTTAGCCTTTGATTAGACCAGTTAGGTCCTTATACCGTAATCACCCGGACAAAACACCCCCCCGTAATAGTACACCCCCGGGTAGCTTGTGCGGGGGGGGTGTTATAGCCGACCTCGTTTGTACTATACCCCCCCTTTTGGGGCGATTCTTTATAACACCCCCCTTTTCTTACGAAACCCTATTATAGCTGTTATCGAGTCGGCTTTTTTACAGGAGGATATGACGAAAATCGCTCCCTGAATGAAATTTCGCGTGCACTTTCACTTCGAATCTACCGAGATTCCCTCCCTTCCACAATCTCGCTGTCGCCACGCTGGCGAATCTTTTGCTGCACGTGGCCCGAGAGGTGAAACTCGCTTTCTCGCCAAAACTCGAATTCTCGCCTCAACCTGTGATGTTATAACGACTATTGAAACACCCAAATTGTCTAATTAATTTTTTTCTTACACTAAAAAGTGCCATATATAACCACCCGGGTATTATATAGGATTTTCCCTGTGGTTATCATAATACCCCCGGGTGTTATGTCCGGGTGATTACGGTAGTAGGATCATCTAGGAGGGCCTACGGTGAGAACGCTCCTATTTGCCGCACGCACAAAGCTAGGCCCGGTTCGGCAGGCATAAAAAAACGGTTTTCCAGTATGGGCTACAGTAAACCGACCACCCTGGAACCTTCTTTGATAAGCGCGCGAAAGGTTATCTAGGCTCGATATAAGCGGATCATCGCCGAACCAGACAATAATGAAATGCAAGCCGAACACCCCTTTTAACGCTGGCATTTTTTTCAAAAGGAACCTTCCACGAACCCTTTTTCTCAGGCAAACTGTCCATTTTCTCATCCGCCGCAACACGCGGCCTCGAGGCCCCGCACCATGCGGGGGATCATTGATTCGGGGAAATCAAACTTTGCCTTGAAAAAAACAAATCTCGGTCTTTCTCACCCCTCTTCGTGCCCGCTGGAAAATCGCACATCACCAACACACCATCTCTAACACATCGAACGCACAGTATGCCTTGTGCGATTTTTTTCGACGTCCACCGCTGCTTTGCGAGGCTGCCCGGGCTGCCCGTACAGTGATTCCACGCTCTATCAGCGCAGCTGCATATGGGCTTCCCCGAAGTGTCATTTCCGACTGGTGCCATTATTTTTGGCCCATTTAATGCCAACCGAACACTCTGGCCATTTTTTTAGAAGTTTCACTGCAGCTACAGTCTGTTTCTTGGGGCCATTTTTTGGGGGCCCGTTAAAATGGCCGATAATGGCGATAATGGCCATAATGCCTGCCGAACTGGGCCCTAGTTTCGCATGGTTTCTCTACTGTAGGTGTGTGTATAGTATGTAGTTGACTGCCCAGAGGTTTCCCCAGGATCTTCACGAACGACTACATGGGTCGGTTACACGGTTTACTGCTCTGCGAATCTCGCACAACGCATGTCGGCTGTTGCCGTCCCAGCCCCGAATTGGAACGACAGGTGGCGAGGCGAGGAACTTGGTTCCAGGAAGGAGAAAAACAGAATCATCTGTCATGTGAGGCGACAGGTCACCAAATGTGGAGGGAGGGGAGAATATCTTACGGGGGGGAGCGTCGGTGGACCACCATAACCAAATGAGGTATGCCAGGCAGATTTAGGACCGTCGGTCCATAGCGGCCTGTCTGTCTGACTGTCTGACCATACAACGTCCATCTTGTGCTCCACGACTGCGTTTTTGCCAAGTCTCCACCACACTACAGTACTACAAACTCTGGTACCCTACACAGCTGAAGTTATCAAGGCTAAACAAGATCCCGATAACAGAAGTGGAAACGAGACCTATATCTGGCTTCATTGTTAAGGTTCCGAACGTGGGACTCTGGCGTCGTCGCTTTCGCATGTCCGCCCGCCGGTGGTCTAGTTTTAAAAAACGAGCCTAGACCTGCCACCTCTGTGAATTCTCTCTTCTAAGCTGGACTTCCGTTGTCGGATCGTCGCCGTCGTCTTCATCTTTTGTCGTGTATTAATCGTCGTCGTCGTCGCCGCCGCCGTCGTCGTCGTCGTCGTCGTCGTCGCCGTCGTCGTCGTCGCCGTCGGCTCTTCCCTCTCTCTCATGTCCGCGCGTCGCCATTGTGTGCTATCCACCGAAACCCCACCATTGAATGAGGAGTCCCGACGGCGGCCGACTCATAGACTTGATTTCACCCACTATAGACCTCGCCCGCGGCCCCGCCATTGGGATCATCCGCACAATATAGAGCCTGGTTATGCTATACCTCGGCCGTCGCGCCGCCATTGGGATCATCCGCACAATATAGAGCCTTCTTATGCTGTACCTCTGCGGGAGCTGCACAGACCGCCAGGGGAGGCGCGTCCGGCGACCTCCTCCCCCTCCCCGCGCCACGTGGCAGAAAAGCCCCCATTTCTCACTTTCGAGGCTCGTAAAGCGAAACATTCAGCGCATTCGCAACTCTTTCGGCCGCAAATCACGCTGCTTCTCGCGGTTTTACTCTTACCCCCGCTATTATCACGGTCGGATTCGTCAAGCACCCCTGCGGATGGTTCCTACCACCGCTACTATCACGTATCCGGCGGATCTGCGCCTCCCTTACTATCTTACGCGCTCCGCGACTCTCCGCAAGGTTCCGCGGATCATGGCGTGCCGGTGCGCGCTAGTAGTGGTAGGCATGACACTGGCGGGTCTGCACCCGTCGCGGCGGCCCGCGGCGTGCGCGCGATGGCGGTAACGCGCGCCGACAGAATTCCGCGGAAGGCTGTTCCGCGGGAGAGGACGGGATCTGCAGCGCAGGCGAAGGCCCCAGACGTTATGCTTGGAGAGGTCGGACCGCGACAGGCGGAGCCGCGACAGGCGGAACCGCGCGTAAAGGCTAGAGTAGATTCGGGGAAAGCCACCAGCGCAAGTGGTGGGGTCGGAAGTAACGGCAAGGATCACGGCGGGGAGCGCGCCGCGACTCGCGGCGAGATTCGAGGGGTGCAGGAAGAACGGGTGGATGGGAGGGAGGAGGTGACGCTGGGATGCCTGATTCCGTCTTACTCCCAGGACGGAATGAACATGCTTGCAGGTGATGATGATGATGATGATGATGATGATGATGGTGGCGGTGATGGTGATGGTGATGGTGATGGTGGTGGTGATGGTGGTGGTGGTGGTGATGGTGGTGGTGGTGGTGGTGGTGGTGGTGGTG